GCAGTCTTACATATTTGTTTAATATGTGCGTTGAAGGACATTTCTGGTCAATCTAACAGACAAAAAGTAAAAGAAAAAGATTGGAAAGGACAAATAAGAAGTCCAGACTCTTCCTCCTCATGCTGTCCCACCTCTAACACCAACTACTTTCCCACCTTGCTGACAATAAACATATCTTCACGTCGGATGATGCCCTGCTGCATCTTGGAGCGCAGAGCCTTTCCAATGTCCACCTCGTTTTGATAACTGTAGGCAGTATCTATGTGGCGGTATCCAGCCGCGATGCCAGTCTCTACTGCACCCTGGATCGAGGTCGGGGACAGATGAGACGACTGCAACAAGCAGGACAGTAGAGTTAGTGTCTGCTAACCTTACTCTTGGTTCCTGGGCACATTTACACCAATGTAGAGAGAATTTGTGTGAGATAGATAATACAACAGATAATACAAAGTTGAGAGGCTCAAAATAACATCACAGATGTGCATGAAGTCAAGCAGCACCATTGGTGACAGTCATGCCAATGTCTGATAGGCCTCTTCTCAGCAGGTCACTAAACTGAACTTCTCTACTGTGCTTTTATGGGCATTTTCCATTGATTATCTCACACATGATACAGCATGATACAGCATGCTAAGCGGTACAAACAAACCAAGAAGATTTGGCTTCAGTTTTGGTTTGGACTACTTTATTAGTTACTTAGCACCAATTGTCTCTACCCGTGCATTGCACCCCTGCTGTTTATCAGCTTGCTAACTAAGCATGTTAACCTTAGCTGATAACTTCTTGTTAAGATACTAATAATGGGTGACCTCACGCCACTATGTGTCAGATACAGCAGGATGGAGGATCTGGATTGCTGCTTGATAGCAAAGTGGTGTGCAAATGTACATCAGTTGCTGATAACCATAGTTAATGGTTCAAATCATATAATACAAGAATCATCAGTTTGCTTTGTAGAAATGTGTCTGTTGAGCCACTCGATGACGGCTGAGCTTGGTGTTTGCCTGATCTAAGGCTTTTTTGGATATGTGTTAAATCACATGTAAGATAAAACTTTGATCCAGTTACTGGCTTCATATGTAATTATAAAGTCCAAATATTAATTTCGACCTCTAAAGTTTTGAAACCACTGTTTGGATGCATGTGTCTTATTATTAAACTTGACTCTGTCACCTGAAAGAGTGATGATGTCTGCCAATCACAGTCAAGTCCTTCTAATCACCTCCCTTCACAAATATCAGTAAGTATGCCTTTAAATGCATGTATTAGAAGGCATTAGTAAACATATAGTAACTCTTAACAATACATGAGAAAACACAGTAACACTGAGCAACTTCTCAAAGTTAAATGCAGATGAAGAAATGGGGCTACCTTCCATGTCCCAAGACCCAGCAGTGGCATTCGAGAGCCGTCATTCAGCTCAACGTCCCTGGCCACCTGTGTGTCCTCCACAGAGTACATTTTCCCCACCGTAAGAGAAAAACAACAAAAAAGCCACTCAGTTCACAACCGCGCACTGTCACGGCTTTCTTCTTCCTCTTTCCCCCTCAGAGTGCTTCTGCTGAGTCAGTGTCCTTCCTTTTTCTTTGCTGATTTTACTTTAGCTCATGTTTCTGACCTTCACTCACTTGGTTTTCTTCTCTTCCACCCACTCATTTCCTTTTCTTTCTGTGCTATCAGTCCACAAGTTAATTATTGGACAACATGCAGAGAACTTCACTAGCATGTAGTATTTATCTGTAAATAGTAAGTGAGGAGGAACGTGTTGCAAAGGTCACTTCTCCCATCGTGATAGCAATACAAACACGCATGCACACACATGCACACACGCATGCACACACATGCACCTTGCCTTAGTTGCACTAAAACAAATCCACTGTAATGTTCCCGCTTCCACATTAGATGGCGATCTTGTATCACCGGTTTGTGCAGCCACATTTTTTAAAATGAAAATTATATATATTTTACATTTCTTAAGTCATTTATTGTAAGTTCAGATTTTAATGTCATTTTGTATTTAATTCAATTTGTCATCGTATTAATTCCTCACGTCTGTGCTTGTTTCTTAGTGGTTCTCTTATTTTAAAATTGCTTGTATTTGTTTTACATTTATAATTTCACTTTTGGATTAAACTGATTTTATGACACCAACTTCATGTTTTAATATAACTTTTGTTTTAATTTCATGATGTAATTTTTGTCTAATTACATTTGCTGTACTTGATATTTCAAACCCCAGGTTTCAATCCTGTTTCTAATCCACCTCAAAAAGTTGTTTTTGGAAGAGTGGTCAACATTTTCAGAAACTGATATCTGAGCCTGTATGCTAAAGAGCCTATAGTAGTTTCAGAGGTGTACTTACGTTTACTCAGATTTTAACACCTGACAGGTTTTTGGTGTTTTTGGTGTTGTTCAAGTAAATCAAACAAGTAGGTTCTGTTTTAAAGAGGCTCAAATGTTTGCTTGTTTCAATATGATGAAAACATCTGCTGTGCTTTTTGTTTTTACACGACTGCACTCCGCATGGTTTCAGTTTGCTTTTTATGTTTTTCCTATTCAAAAACCAAAACCAAGCAATGCACCCAAGCTCTCGTTTGGCATGCAATTCTAATTTCTAAATGCTTTTTGGTTTAGTCTAACCTGATAAGCACAAAAAAAGGAATTCTTTTTAAACGCATGTTCCCATATGGGGACGATGGGTTTATTTTATGGCGTAAAGCAATACAATCACCACAGTTTATGTATAAAACACTTTATCGAGCAGAATGAAGTTTAATGTGTAGATAAGCCAAAATATAAAAACTCTGTGTTTTACACTGAGGTGTATTACATCTTACAAGCATCAACAATAATTGGGCCAGTACTGGGCAAACGATGATGAAGATGGAGCTGAGAGGCAGGAGGAAAAGAGGAAGACCTCAGAGAAGGTTCATGGAAGTAGTGAAGGTGAACATGCAGAGGGCTGGTGTGACAGAGGAGGATGCTGGGGTGAGATGAAAGCAGATGATGCACTGTGGCGACCCCTAAAGGGAGCCGGAAGAAGAAAACTGCGTCCATCTACAGACTGTTTGTCTGATGCAGAAGGACACATTCGTGCATAGGCTTGAACACCAGGAACTATGTCCTGGTCTCACTAGATAACACTAACACTGAACTGTGCCTAAACAGTCTGAAGCGGTAGAGGGCGCTGTGTAGCCTACCCAGTAAAAACGAGGAAGAAGAGGCGGAACCAACGTAAAACGAAGAAGGGGCACCAGGGTAACCATGGCTAAAGTTGACAGCGGAGCGAAGCCACTACAAAATGCCATGAAAATGGCCAAAGTGGCAATACAGCTGGACGGAGGGAACAGACACAAGGTCAGTGAGCCCCGGGGGCCGACAGCACGGACACAGCAGCGGGAAGCGGACAGGAAGCGGCGGGTGGGGATGTAAACAGAGGGAGGGGGCGGAGGCTGTCAGTGGTTAGCCACATAACGTTAACCTGCTCGTTAATCTATACATGCAAAACTACCTTTAATTAATAATGATATTTATTCACTGCCATCCCGAGACTCACCTCAGTGTTTTGTCCTATGAAAGCGCCTTTTTGCTGCATTGTCATCAAGTTTATTGTACACGCATAACACCAGTGTTTGCGATGCGTTAAAAACACGTCGAGCTAAAACATGCAGAGGAAACAAACACTCTTCTGTGGATTGTGGTTTCTTTTTCGTTTTCCCATCACACTGTGACCACCTGCGTGTGGCCCCCTGACCCGTCGAGTAGACCCTGAAGCTGGTCTGCACTCTGGTGTCTGCACCAAGATGTTTACAACAGATCTTTTAAGTCCTGTAAGCTCTTCGGTGGGACCTCCGTGGATCAGCCTTGTTTGTTCACATTCCACAGATGCTCCCATCTCAAGTCAACACTTTAAACTCGTTGTTTTGCTCCAAATCATTGCTGAACAGTTTCTGCTTTGTGACAGGGCGCATTATCCTGCTGAAAGAAGCTCCAGCCATCAGAGAGTCTGTAGGGCAGGGGAGTCCAACTCCAGGCCTCTGGAAAACCTCAAGACATGTTGAGGAGGTCATTTAGCCATTTGAATCAGCTGTGTTGGATCAAGGACACATCTAAAACCTGCAGGACACCGGCCCTCGAGGCCTGGCATTCCCCATCCCTGGTCTACATGATCTGCAACCGTGCTCATGTAGGCAGTACCTGTCAAAGTAACATCCATGTGGATGGCAGGATCCAAGGTTTCCCAGCAGAACAGGCCAGCTGTCACTCACGCATGCATCAGTGAGCCTTGGCCACCCATCAACCTGTCGCTGTTCCTTCCTTGGACCACTTTGATAGATACTGTCCCCCCGATCCCTGCAGACCAGGAACACCCCACAACAGCTTATTTGTTTTTAAATGTTAAAAATCAGAGAGCTGCTCTGGGTCACAATTTGGCCCTTCGCTCAAATCTTCACATTTGCCCATTTTTCCTGCTTCTAACGTCACCTTTAAGGACGAAATGTTCACTTGCTCTGTAATATATCCCACCCACTAACACGTTCTTTGATGAAGAGATAATTATTCACTTCACCTGTCGGTGTTTATAAAGTTGTGATTGATCAGCGTATATATTTTCCTCTATGGTGATGTTCTCAAACTCGGGTCCTTTACAGGAAGCCTGCGAGTTTGAGGGCTCTGCGCAGTATCTAATATGTTCCTTGGAGTCTGTTTGTGTGCATGTGATATATTTTTCTATTGGCAGAACAAAATAAACGCTGTTGTTTATAAGTTTTGATTGGTTGGGTTGAGGTGACCCCTGACCATAGCTGGCAGTGACCTAATCTGTAGGCACTGTCACCTGTCTGTCTCTGTCCTGGTGCACAGGAACAGTAGGTGTGAATCCTTTGTACTGGTTAAAGTGCAACTATGTTTCCTCTAAAAACAGATTCTCCTCAGCACCACATGTAACCAGTCCAAAGCTGAACTGCTTTCCTGAGTTACAAAACTCTTTCTTTATCAAAGTTGGAGGGACTAAAAACTGCAACTAATGTGTTAATGCGATGCATGCCAGTGTGTGAGGTTATCAGCAGCCTGTGTACTTATAACAACTGATGGCCTGTTTGTGGTCTCTCTGCAGGAAGCTTACTGTGAATACCTCCGGACCATCAACTACATATCACATGCACTTTTGGAGGAAGCTGTTTCACAGAGTAAGAGCTGAAGGAAATGTGTGACTGATGATGAAGGAGCATAATGGTCTCTGCTCAGTTTACCTGTTAGTGTGCGAACAGTCCAGTGCTTGTTAAAGCAGACACTGAACACGGAACATGAACCAGTTTACAAGCAGAACTACCCTCCTGACCGTTTCCTCTGTTCCTTTAATACCTTACGAGAAGCAACCTCTGACTTTGCCAATACAGACGTACCGAAAGCTGCAGTTCCTGGAGCAGTGCTTCCTCGAGTGAGTCAGGCCCACAACTTCAGAGCAGGAAAAAGCATTGCTCACTTCCTGATCCAAAAATCAGTGCTGTTTGTTATTATCAAAGAATTCCCGCAGTCCCGCACTTCAGAACTCTTTAAAATGTTTGTATAGCTGTGGACTCATAAGGTGCACAACATGTGAAAGTGGCAGCTCATTCAGAGTATGAAATGTAACTGCATTAATGTTTCTTAAAGGTACTACATCTTTGATGCTCAAAAATGGAACAAAAATGTTTCAGCATTTGTTATTCATGGATACATCCGAGCAGTTTCATCGCTGTGCGATAGTCCAGATTTAATAGGGGACTATAGGGCTACAGCCCAAAAATGTACAACATGAAAATGGCCAATAATTGAATCTTTTATATGGAGTCTGTTGGTAAATCATATCCTGTGGCCGCCACAGTTACCAAAGCTCTACTCGGTTTAACATCTGTGGGTTTAAAGCTGATTGTTTTTATGAGGCAGATAGGCTCATCTGTTCATCATCTCAGGCTACGTTCGATCACTGAAAACGGAGATTTTTAAAAACTCCTGCCAGGGTAGAGATTCTCAAAAAACTCTGTTTTTGTGTTTACATGTGGACGCAGAAAACGGAGATTTACTCACACAAGCTCAAAGGTGTGCACCTTGTGTGACGTGACGCTGTGCGCCACGTTATTGTTTACATGAGATGAATTTCTACAATGAGACAAAAAACTGTTGCTGTTACTCTGTGTGCAGTTTTTCCACGCTTACACATGCAGTTACTGTCCATCCATTCAGAAAGGCAGAGGCGTTGTCAGTTTTGAATAAATTAACAAAAAATGTAATTAAAATTTATGCATGCTGTATGCATTTAGTTCATTCCCAAGTTGTGAGTCTACACCAGCCGAAATCCTGTTTCTGGTTATTAACATTTGAAATGATGAAGGTACTTGAAAAGTAACACAAAATTAGCTGCCTTTCCAGAAAAACACAAAGCTTTTGTCCTGAAGGTTTGCATAAAACCCTGTTTACTCTTTCCCTCCCAGGCTTCTAGACTGGCCAACATTTCTGCACGGCTAGGACTTGGCACGTTCTTGACAACGTTTGACTGCGTTTTGGCGTTTACATGTGGACGGAGATATTTTTCCAAACTGCATGTGTGGACGGGATTTTTAAAAAGAAAGAAAATGGAAAATCTCCGTTTTCAAAAACACCCGTGTACGTGTGGATGTAGCCTCAGTGTACCAGCAATCATGGCACCACGACCTGTTTGTGTGGCTGCTTTGATCAATCAAAAAGCAGTGTTATCTGCAAGCCATAAGGGTACCACCTGAATGTGAGCGTGTTGGACTCGATGGATTTGTGACCCGGACCAATCAAGGGTTGCTACTCAGTAATCCTCTTGTTCCAACACTGTTAATCATTCCGATCAAGGCTTGAACTAATCAACCATTTGTGAAATTCAATCAGCTTTCTCATGCCATGTGATGACCTGTGTATAGTAGAGAGATTAATCCCATCTCATGGCGTGATATGTGTCTTTCTGGCCTCAGTGGAAAAGGAGATGGTGTCAGTGGAAGTGGCTCGGATGTTGACCCTAGCTGAGCAGTGTCTGGAGCGAGCCAAGTCATTTGTAGGGAAGAGCACCGAGCCCCCCGACCTGTCAGCTTCTGCTTTCTCTTCGGGTTCACCTGGCCTACCAGAGCCCCATCAGACTGCGGTCGTCCCTGCCTCTCACACTGCAGACACTGGTGAGTACGTTCTCCTCCAATCAGAAGCATCTCTTCTGTAAACACACTGGTCAGTCACTGCTAAGTTGGAGCCAGGAGTCACAAGTGAGATGTCACCTGCTGCACAGTGTTACGTCATCTCATTGTGTCTTTAGCCTGAGCTCTTGGTCTCTGTTTGACTGCAGTCACAGTACCTGTGGGTGGTGCTCCTGTGGCCACAGACCATAAATCCTCGAGTCCCAGAGTGAGCGGTCACAGCAGGCTGTTGTCAGACGAAGCCGAGGAGCCCTCACCTTTCCTGCCTCCCGAAGTCTTCCACAAACTACAAGCAGAAGCGTCGCAGGACACGGGCAAAAAGTAAAGACTGCTTTTCATCAAGGAGAGGAAATATTGCTCCAGTGATAGAAGCTGGACAAACAAAGAAGAACAGACTGAGTAGTTGCTCTGGATTCCTGTGAAAGCACAGTGTTTTCAAGTGAAACAGCAAACGTGTTGCAGTCGATTTGTTATCTAAATTGACGCGCGCCGTGAGTCATGTATTGTTTGTGTATGCGTTTGTGCGCTGCAGGGAGCTGACACCCATCGAAGAAGCCTCACGTTTGAACCAGAAGCTGAAAGCTAATTACGAAGCTCGCCTGGCGAGACTCACACCTGGTCAAGCCTACCAGAAGACATCTTTGGTAAGTTTGGGAAATGAACTCGTCTCAGTCTGCTGTCACATACGCTACTTTGTTGTCCTTGTTTGAGCACAAGTTTATTTAAAAATGTAAAGACGTGACAACTTCTGTTAAAACGATTTCCAAAAATGTTACATTTTTTTATTTTAGTGATATATAAAATTTGTTTAACAGTATTTTTTGTTTGCACCTTTATTTTGCATGTGGAATATAACAGGTAGATGATTTTTCTTAGCCAGAGGACAAACTTCCTGAGGAAGAGTCGGTCCAAACATCCCACTGGTTTTTAGAGTTTCACCTGAAAGAAGGGATTCGATTATTGATATTATTCCTTCCAGTTTTGCAGCATGTGTATACATATTTGGTCCGATTTGCCTGGATATTCAATCACACTTAGTCTTTTTTCCCCCTCTAAAGCCACGAGGCTGCCATGATGTCATCTGACAGAGTTATCATAGACATAACTTAATGATAATGGTCGCGCTCTGATTGCTACTTTCTGTCTCCTGTACTCGCTGAAGTTTGTTGTTCCCTGTCACTAAATGACCACAGCACACTCAATTTGCATGTGTGTGGCACAAATGAAACAAAGGGGGGCTTTTTTTGGAAAAGGGTCTAAAAATTGGTAGGTAAAGTTTATTGAAAACACTTCAAATTTGGGCAACAGTAAAGTTTTAACTGAAGTGTGAGAGGGAGGCCAGAGCCCAGCCTGTGACGATATCTAAAAACATGTAAAATTGTGTTGTTGTTGGGTTTTTATTAAGCTCTGGTTGATGGCAGTGTCGCCATTATGTGAAGATACTGTTGACGCTGAGGAACATATACAGCTTTTACGCTTTCATGCGGACTTCTATATTTCACATATTGAAACCTTCAGTCCCAGAACTTATACAAGGTGTTGTTAAAACAGGAGGCGATTCATAAATGTGCTTCAACTTTCAACTTCAACAAAGTTAAAAATAAATAGAATTTTAATCACTTTTATATCAATCTTAATATAACCTTTTAAACTGTAAAACCTTCATTTTATGCTAGCATATTTACCCAGTCACTTCCTCATAGTAACAGTGAAGATTATATTTTGATAAAAGGGAAGACAAAGAAAGACAAACAGTTTTTATTCTAATTAGTTTCACTTTGTGGTTCTGAGTGTTTCCTCTCCTACTGAAAAGATGGCCTATGCTTGACGGACGGTGCAGGTGACATATTCAGTGCTCAGGATTGGTCCGTCTTTCCTGACATCTTCGTCACTGTCACCAGTATCAGGCTGGGCGTGTTTTAGATGGATTAGCTCTTGGTAAGTGCATTGCTCACACTTGTCTATAGTGTGCATCAATGAGAGAAGAGCCAAAGTTTCCATAATGAACCAGAAGAAGGCAGGCCTGAGGAGGCAGTACAGGGCTCAGTGTAAATCTCAGAAATTCACCTTCATGTTGATGCTACTTCAATATATTCCCGCTTACTAAACTCCTCCACCTTAATGTAACGCCCTCATCAGCAATGGGCTCTTCAGCAGGGTGCTGCACCCTAACAGAGACGTGAGGAGCATGCCAAAGAACAGGTCAGAGCTGATGGCAAGCAGCATTAGAGTGGTGCTTTTTAAGTATTTAACATTAACATATGAGCATGCTGTGAAAGTACATTCAAAGGTCATTTATAGATAAGAACACACATATTCACATTTTACGTTTGTGTGTGATTTGATTTTGTTACCTGTAAATGAGGCAAAGAAAGAATTTATCAAAATAAAAGTTTAACGTTGCACAAAAATAGTGTTTATTTCGGTTATGCGAACCAAAAAGCAGCTAGCCGAGTCAAGTTTCATCGCAATGCCAGACTCACTCACCATCTCATTGTTTTCCCAGCATTACTCTTCACATTCATAATGCTCCATTACATCATGTATTTCATCAGCTCCAAACAAAAGCTCAGGCAGCAGCCAAAATGTAAATCCTTAAATGACGTGTATTAGTGAGTGTGGGAACGGTTGTGGGAAAACAGTGTTTATGTGATTGCTCTTTCTTTTTTGTCTCTGCTCAGCCTAAACAGAAATTTGACACACTTTTTCCCTGACTGTGGTCGCTCACCCTGTCAGTAAAATGTTTTTCTGCCTTTGCATTTGTAAATTAAACTTTCTTTGACTGCCTGGTAGACATTAGTCTCATACACTTTGAATCTTCTTTAAAAGGACCTGTTATTCTCATTTGTTTTGTCTAAAACTTAGATTTAGCTCATTTCTTTTTAAGGCTTTCTTCTGATTGGCTGCCCCTTGCAGACAGAAGTTTTCACCAGCTGGTGGGTGAATGTACAGGTGGATGTATTACTACCAATAGTTTTTACATTTTGGTGACCATTGAAATTAAAGTTAATGCTTCAAATAAGCTGGTAAATAGTCAACGCTTTTCTTTGCAAGCTCCGTTGACTACGATGACCTGGTTGACTGAGAACCTTCACAGACAAGCTGGTAAATAGAAATATGAATTACATAGGGGTGTAGATACTTAATCAAAGCCTCTCTGTGCTGCACCACCTGGTTTGTGGATACTGACATCTACAAGTGGTTTATATTAATCTAAGATCTAGGGACATTTATCATACAAATGCAAATAATGCAATTCTACTACAGAAATGTGGTAAACATTGATTAAGTGCTATTGATTTAGAATAAAATATCCTCAGTTTCTTCTGTTATTCGCCTAATAGTTGTATTTAATATGTATTTAATGTTACAAACTTTGACCTCAGTTTAAGTACTGAATCATTTTCTGCGATGGTAATCAAAAATAATGGAAACTCTGGTGGATTAAAGCGCGCTACCTGTGCTTTTATTTTGTATTCTGGTCTTCCGGTTCGCGGTTCCGCTGCTGTTAATGGTGAGTGTGACGGGCGGAGGGAGCAGGCTACCTGAGAGCGTTTTATTTTAGCCGGGTAACGTGTGAGCTACGAAGCAGAACTTTCTCTCGTCGTTTTTTATAATTTTAGTGGGAAACTCGCTACATTAAAAAAAATATAATAAATAATGGTAAGCAAAATGCCGCCAAGTTTAGCTTACATCTGGTTAGCTCGCTATTTTCTTAATTGGCTCGGTTGTAGGCTAACACTTCTTTTTCTGTAGAGATCTTTTTTATTTTGAGCTGTAGGTTTTTAAAGTAACGTTAACTTGTCAGTTAGGTGCGGAATATGTTTCGACAGTCTGCGGAGCCTCGTGTTTTCTGGAGGAAACTAAAGGCGTTTGTAAAGGTAAAGTCATAATGGCTAATTTTGTTAGCCAATTAACGCCACTGACACGTCCCCCCACAAGCTTTTAATGACACTAACGTGGCAAATAATTAGGGCATTGTGTTTTAAAATACACAGTATGCACAGTATAATAATTAAGTCAATATAAATAAACTGAAAATGCTCTGTGGTTTATGGAAAAAGGTGAAGTATTTTCAAGGTTTGCACTTTAAATTGCACATCAGGGATTCCCAGTATATTTAACGTTTATTTACAGAATGGTATTAAAACTACGTGGGGCGTCTTAAATAGTTTTTAATGTAACTGCTATTACAAAACATGTAAACCAGGAGATATCCTTTTAATACAGAACCACAACATGATATAGTTGTAAAGTAAAGTAAGAGTTTTGTGGCTGCACACTTGGAGTGGAGGGAACTAGTTTGTGTTGGTATCACCAACAAATACTTTACTTTCATGTTGTGTGGAACTTGGATGATGCATCCTGTAGTTTTTTAAGTGGTGGTTGGCAGTGTCATTGACATTTCTGGTGTGGATTTTGTCCCCTATTGGCCCATATGTGCCTCCACATTTCTGAGTCGATGCAGGAAAAACCTTTATTTTTCTAGTACTTAGAAATCTGAGTTTAAGGTATGTGTGAGTCGCGGTTGTTTTATTTACAGAAAGATTCATCAATGGTTGCTATCATTTTTTTTTCTCAAATAGAGGAAAGGCCGCATTAAGGCCCAGGGGAATATTTTGAACTTTGATTTATGTTAAGCTTTTTTAGTAGAGTCCAAGATTAGATCTCATTTTATTGAACAGATGCATACAGTGAAGTAAAGTAATAAGTAAATAGCCTTCTCTCCATTTTCCCCATTCAGACACTCTCTCTCCAGCGGCAGATGATGGAGAACCTCATCATAGCCAAAGCCAGGCAGGATGCTGTATCCTTTGAATATGGTAAACAGTTGGATTTACTGCATGGGGCTTTAAGGTTTGTAGCAATCCAAATGCAAAAAACCAAAGATGTGTATTAATTTTGAGCAACAATCCCCGCCTTGATGCTTGCATTATGTTCAAATGACAATGAAGTAGGTGGTGCATTGCTGGGAATTGGGCCAGGAGAAGAGAGAATGGTTAAAGCGGAAAAGGACATTAAACTTCGGATTTCTGATTTAGGAATGTTGATTTTTGCTTTTTTTTTTTAATTTTACGTTCATCCTTTAGCTGAATAAGCTTTGCTTTTATTGTTGTTTGATGTATCCTAAATTTTATGCTCTCTGAGTTAAGCGGTCCTTTTTGGATCGCCTTGTTTAAATTGCAGAGTTAGTTGTGGAAACAACACACTAAGAAAGAAATCACTCTTTGCAGAATCACCCACTCCACTGGCATAAACAGTACTTTTAGATTCCAGTCACAGTGTGCCTTCAGTGCTGTGGATAGTTTGGATCCACACTAACACTGCAAAACACCAAAATCACACAATAGCAAACTAACTTGCTGAGCCAAACTCTGTGTTGTGTAAGGTGATTTGAGTGTTTTTTTGTCAGTGGAGGCTGGTGGAGTGTAGTGGCTTCACTTTCCCAGTGAAGTTCACTTTCCTCAGTCAGTGATGCTGACCCACAATCGTTGTTGTTATTATTGTTAGATATTAAATATGCTTTGACAAAGTTTATTGAAAGTTCTGAGTAACCAGCTGCTTTTAAATGACTTGTAAAGTTGACCTGTTGCTACAGCAGAAAATGCAAAGATGTGCATTTTACATTCAGACTAAAAACCAACAGATTTCTGATCCATATTACTCAAATGAGACTTCCCAGTGTGTTGGAAATCTCTCTGGTTAAACGGTCGTACAAATGTAAAACGTGGTGACACTGATAATGCAGCTCACCTGTGTTTCATCAGCTGATCTGTAGGTCGTACAGCTTTTTGTAAAGCTCTTTTACATTTGCTTGAAAAATGACTGAAGCTTTTAATCAGTTACTAATTGCTGATTAAGTTTATACTTGTAATACTAAAAAGTTGTTACAAGCTTCTTATCAAAGAAAAATCCATTGGTTTGGACATTAGTGGCAACATGTGAGTAGTTTGACTCTCTAAAGCTTTAATGAACTTTATAAGATTTCCCAGGATATACTCACGTCTTATCCACGCAATGGTTTGGAGATTTCCTTAATGTTGACATTAGCTACAGCGGAAGATGGAGGACAGAAGACTGAGGCTGCAGGAAGAGGCCAACAGGTACAGTGAGCTTTTCATTAACACAGTGAATTAAACTAAAGCATCTTTGTTTTGGTCACCTTAAATGTAAATGTATAAGAGCTGTGCACTCCTCTTTGTGCTCATGCCTGATGCAAGCTGGGACAGGAAGTTATATTTCTAGGGAGGTGTTATATGATGACCGATAGGTTTGCACTGTGAATTTCATACAGAAGTATAAAGTCCCTGCAATAAATCACAGACGTCAGGAAAACTGGACACACTTTTAAAAATTATTTTTTAAAAGTTCTGTAAATAACTTATTTTTTTTAATGCACAGATTGAACTCTGTAGCTATAAATAGGTTTCCATAATATTTCTCATTTCTTTTCTTCACACCTGCATGTAATTAATTCCTTCTTCTATTTGCACATTTGGTTAACCAGACATGACAGTGATCCTGTATGAAGTATAACTTCTGTGCTGTTATTTATAGCATTTATTGACCAAATTACAGTGTTTATAAACTGTGTAAATAACCTACTGCATAATAAACCAGAGATTGCAGGTTTCTTGCTGGGGTTTTGCAGTCAGGACAAAAACATAGTGGCTGATGGAACCTCAACAAGGGGATCTGCTTCCAAAATTAGCGATCACTGGCAGGCATACAATTTCAGTAACCTCTCCTGTGTGTGCGTTCGTCATCCCAGGAGATTTGCAGCATCTGGGGCAATGACTCCAGAGGAGCGAGAGCAGCGTATTCTCTACACCAATGTTCTGGAATATGAACAGGACCATGTAAGTTTAAATGCTATTAAAAAGCGTTGGCAGGTGTAAATGAAGATTAGAAGACTTTGCATAGCAGCAAATAATTCAAGTACAGTAAACAAGATGGCAAACTCTGGACCTACATATTTATTTCCTCTTCAGATCTCCAGTTTCCAGCAAAGTATCTTAGTTTGTTCCAAATCACACAGAGTTGCATGTTGTTGTTTTTCTACTGATGCAGTGTCGATGCACAGCAAGTTACAGGCGGCCCACGTTTCAGCAGTCCCCTCTGTTTTCTTTCACAAGTTCTCAAGTATTGAGTTTTATGCTGGTTAATTAATGACTAATCACTTAATAGACCTTTATATATGTGTTTATGACGTTTTTGTTTTGGCCTCTTTAGGATTGGCCCAAACAGTGGAAAGCCAAAATGAAGAAGACTCCTGATGTCTCGTTAGTGTCAAATCTGGTCTCCTACCTGCTCAGGTAACTGACAACAAGGTGGAAAACGGTTTATTTTTCTTGTGTGGAGAAATACCCGTGCTATTTATTTGTGCTTTTTTTTTTTTTAACACAACAAGACGCAGTCAAAGCATTCAAACGTTGTGACTGCTCAGGATTGTCCTTTCTGGGTTTTATTCAAGTATTGGGGTGTTTAAGTGGTGTTTTGTCAATCAGAAGGGTAGTTTGGCTTGAGTGTCTGGAGAATTGCAAAGAGACGAAACCAGTAAGCCGAAACTAAAGTAACGAATAGGGAAATATGCATAAAGGCAAAAAACTGTCTGCCACGACTTCAACAACACCAGAGAAATTGAGCTGAATTCGAGGTTTGATTTGACTTTCTCTTTGTCTTTTGGTTTGACATGTAGTTAATAAAAGTTTCACTTATTATTATCAAATTTACAGTAAAGTTAAACACAATAATAAATCATATACAGCACAGAATTTATAGAATATGCATAAACGGTTGTGTATTTGCTTCAGATGGTTTAACTGTGCTACAGAATTAGGCAGTCCTAATCCTGCATGTACTTGTTTCACTGAGAGTAGTTTGGACTTCTGGTAGAGGAGCTCATATGCGTGTACACACACAGCACCCCGCGATGACAAAGCAAACACGTTTGTCAGAGTTTAGAACGAATGCAGTCTGAAGAGAGCTGCATGCCTTTAATGAAGAAACACTCAGCTCTAATCCTTTTTAAGACAAGTGAAACACAATGTAGTGCAGAGTATTTACAGATGAATGATAATGAACCTTCTAAAAGATGTTCAGTCATTTAATGATCTTTAATGATTTCTGGAGCACAGTTTGTTATTAATCTGTGGACTTGGAAAGTTTTTAGATTGTGTTATCCCACAGCCGTTTCTGATTTTGCATCGTCAGTGTTATCAGTGTTATCGCTCTTAACTGTGTCCTCAGCCGGTCCGACCACCCAGTTGTGAAGCTGCTGAGGAAACATCAGTACCGAGTTTACAACCGGCTGTACCCCATCGTTAGTAAAGGTCTCCCTAAGAGTCCCGCCATGCCACTGAGACCACGTCACAGCATTCACAACCCACTTCATCCAGGTAAGGGGTTGGTTTGGAAGACAGTGGGTTCATATTTATGTTCTCTTGGCTTCTTTTTTGTGCAAACTAGTTTAAATTTTTGTTAATGAGGATTTGAGACAGAACACTGGATTCAGCTCTACTCTGTATGGGCAGCATTTAGAGGTTCTGGACTCGTGATGCTGTTATTTGGAGTGAACCAAGTTACGTTAATGGTGACGTGTTCTGAATCACACAGAGACTCCGAAGAGACCAGTCAGGACAGCATGTAGTACCCAAAGTGTAAAGAGCTTCAGCACAGACTCCTTGATTTCTCCCTCGCGCTCCCACAACCTCATCCCTAAATATGAGGAGGAAGAGGCGGAGGAGCCCAGCGAGCAGGGGACAATGGACCGGGAGAACTCATTTGAAGATCTGGAGCAGTTTGTGACTCAGATGGATTGGGTTCAACCCCCCAGCAGCACAGACGACACTGCCTCGGATTCAGATTCGGTCTGCGATTTTTCTGTGCCGCTGGAGCAGGATGAGAGCCACGTCCAGGAGCTGGAGAAGAGAGCGCTTAAAGAAAACCTGAAAGCTGTCGTCAAGGACGTTCATATTGCAATCGGTGAGCACAGCTTGTTGTTTGGGAACAGCAAACTCTTCTCTTGTCACGACATTTGCATTCATTGATGGGAGTTAAATGATACGGCTGTGTTCTGTCTTTCAGATCAGCTTCTGTCTTTGTGTTTGCTGTCCTTTGAGTGCCTAAACACTGCCAGCTTTAAGGACCTGTGTCTCGCCAGCATTGAGGAAGCCTTCTTCACACCCCTGTGGAGCGCCCTAGTGGCTCTTTTCAGGTAGTGCACCTGTAATCCTCAGTTCTGTGCCAGGGGCACAAAGGTGCCGAAACACCAATAATCAAAGAGCTGTTTAGATAATAGAGATCTTATAATCCACTATGGCCAAATGTAACCAAATTCTTGAGAAATATAGTGCATAGAAACTACTTTCCTATTACATATTAAATTACCGTATTTCCCAGACTACAAAGCGCACCTGAATATTAGCCGCACAAGCTAAAATCAGGGGAAAATCCTGGTTTGTACATACATTAGCCGCACCTGACCAAAAGCCGCAGGTGTTTCAATATTGACTTATCATATGTAAGAGAATATGCACAAAGCGAATTGTCAGGAAAGAGATGGCTGTTTGGAGACATCACTTTTATTAATATTTTGAAAATCAAGTTATGGGTACATATTTGCACATGTGCTGTGCTTCATAAATGAGTAACAAATGTAGTACATAACAGTAGCCTACAGCACACCAGAAAAATAGATTCAGACTACCTTTTAGGCTCAGGTGCAGTGACACGGCTTTAACAAGAAGAAAAGTCAGTCATTCACCACCATCTTCCTGCGCACTAAAACCACCAAAGTCCTCTTCTCCAGTGTCGGATACGAACAGGCTCAGGATGGCTTCGTCATCCACTCTCAGCTTCTTTCCTTCGTTGTCACTTTCAAAACCAAAGATAATCCTCATTGTCATTGTCAGTGTCGGAGTCGAACACCCTCTGAAGGGCCGTGGCGGTGTCCTCCTCTTCATCATGCAGCAGTCCAGCCCTTCGAAATCCGTTGGTGATCGTGGATGTTTTCACACTTTTCCACGCTGTCAGAATCCACCGGTGGAGTTGAGCATAACTTGCTTTTCGCAAGTTTATCGCCGCTCGTCATCCACGACTCCCGCTGAACGCATAGCGCTACTTTGAAGTTTGTTTTTCGCGCTACTTGTACGGCACTACGTTGCCTGGCGGATGGACATGTGACCAACATACCACTCTTGAACCCCGATCCTTCCGCCAGGCAACGTAGTGCCGTACAACAGCGGAACAAACAAAACAAATAGTCTTACGATATCACAAAAATCATGGACAATCTATAGAAAAGCCGCACCTGACTAAAAGCCGCAGGGTTCAAAGCTTGTGCAAAAAGTAGCGGCTTATAGCCCGACAATTACGGTATACGTACTATTAAGTAACTGCCTTACTGCTTCTAATAGATTATTCATCCAGATTTGAACACCCAAATTTAAGCTTGGCTTCCTGCAGGTCGTTAAAAGTCTGAGTTCCCATAAAACAGATATTTTTAAGGTTGTGAAGAAAGCCAATAAGATAAAACACGTTAACATGTTTCTAACATTGTTGTCCCTTTATCACCCATATTTATTCAATTTAAGTTTTAGTGTGGGACAAAACACTAGGAGGCATTAATTAGTGTTGGTGACATCTTTAAATCCCCAACAAAATTCAAAGAGTCATTTATTGTCACGTAAAAGAAATGTGACAAATACTGTATAGTAATGACTTCACTGTTGAGCAGTCATACAAACTGCTACTTAGTGCAAATAATACACAATTTTAGCTTTTTACAGCCTTAATTAAACTCACTAACTTACTGTTAGCAAAATGTTCTTCTGTCACAGAGTGTAGGGTGTGAGACGGTGCTCTTAGGAAAACAGGTGCAGTGCACGTGCCGGTTCAGATCTAGAGGTAATTTGTGAAAACGTTGACCTGAATTTAAAAGGTTGCTGCAGAGTAGAGAAATGGATCAAAACAGGCTGCATGCAGAGAGAAATGAGTCTTAGACGTATGTTATGCTGTCTGCTTAAACTGGATGGAAAAGGCTGCTACAAATGTAGCTTTCAGACTGTGTAAAAACACTTAAAGTTCATTTAACCAGTGGGTCAAGGTCTCTGACCAGCATGGGGCAGTGCTGCTCTTATATTTGCTCAGCTTCCCTCATCTGCTGTTCTCTGGTTGGGTTCTCAACTTGTTTGTGTTGCAGATTTCGCTGTAGTTGACTGTGATGGTACTTCTAACATTATTGTGGTTTATATTTGATTCCCAGTTGTGTGCTGTGCCATTAAGTTTCCGCATTTCCTATACTCAACCTTTAGTTTAGCTGGATTCAAACAAATTCAGTGGTAGTTGGTGTCGTGGCACTGAAGTGAGCTGGGTGATTTAGATAATTAAGATAAATATAAAAAATGTTTAAAATAAAATTTAAAAAAGCTCTTGCAAGAAGCCAGAAAATTAGAGTTTAAAGATTTTATGTCGGAAACAGCCTGAAAGAAATTTGAGATCCGATCTTCAGCAGTATCCCTGTGTCTGTCGGTCAGACCCGCCCTGCGCTGATGCATGATTTCAAAACACGAACGCTCAGCTGGAGACTTCAGAAAGGTGACATCACCTGCATCACCATGGCTGTGTTCATCCTTTATATACAGTCCACTGTTACCACATGGAAGCAGTATCGTTTCTTGAATGATGGAGGAGAATTTTAACAGTTTTATGATACTAATAATTATGCATCAACTTGCCATACTTTTTACTTTATTGCAGAAATAAGAAGTGGAATAGCAAGAATTCTGCTCTGCAGTGTCTCGTGGTGATGTGCCCTAATTTTAGCTAGAAGCTAAAGTGGAACTATTTTTGTTGAGTTTTATGTTAAGCAGGTATGAGGGTGTCAGACAATGATCCTGTGGAAGAGCGATGTGTTGTGCTCATGTTCTAAATATTAACAACCATGTCAAGAAATAAGAAAAGCTTCTTGGTTCTGGGGTTTTTATTCCACTTTAGGGTATGTTTTTAATCAGACAGCAGGAGCTCAGTCTGTGATAGTTATCGAGCTTAGTTTCCAGGAAAGCTTTAAAAAATTATTCCTCATTCTGCCATCGACTAGGAATAACCTGGAGTTTAAATATCCAAAATGTACCCCCCTACACAACCACTACTAGGTTTTCATGTGACGCTTCCCAGACTTGTATCATTCTTTGCTCTGTTTCCATCATTTAGTTATTTGTCCGTTTGTTGGATTTCGCTCTGGAGCCATTTGTCTTTGATTTCAGGAAGGTGTATGTAGAAAGGGAGGAGGCCTACGAGACCAGTGTGAAGCTGTACAGCGATGTTTCACCTAGAGATATCGGCATTCCCTTGAAACTGTTTCCCCAAAATACCGGTTCCCCACAAGGTTCCTACCCCTACGGGTCTGCTATCCAGGAGCTCAAACTTCTCATTCATGACCGATGTCCACAGAGGAAACTGGAATGCATTGGTGAGTCAGATTGTGTTGTTTTTATTCTCGTTTACACAAAGGCAGAGTTTTGGGATGGAAAGCTGCTCTTAAGAGAGGATCAATTCCAATTGAAAGAGGAAATACACCCTTTTCTGGCAGAAAACCATGGCCTGAGGCTTGGTACTGCTCTGCCTCTAACCTCCTCACGCTAATTTTTATTTTAGTATTTGCAGGTTTTGAAAGGTACAAAAAACATTTAATTTTGCTTCGTTAGAAGGGTTTCATGTTTGTTCGAAACTCTTTGGTGACTGGTGACGTGTCCTTTTGAATTTTAAATTCAGTCTGTTTTTAATCATAAGACCTCACATTTATAGAAAACTAAGAGTGTTGTTATTCATCAGCATTAAACTTTGCTAAAAGTTCTCTGCATCTGTAAAGTGTGAGGGCAGCCAGCCGTTAGGTGCACGTCCTCAGAGTGAAGAAGGCATAAGTCAATTCTTCTTGTGAGCTTTAAAGATAAACAGTTCTTGGCCAGATGGTCTCTGATGTCACTCTAAACCAGCATTTATGTATTTGCACTAAACCCAGAAAAAAACATTTTGTTCAGTAAATGATTGAAATAATAATTTTGTACCTTAAACTTTGCTTTGAATCCATTTTTGTCAGTCTCACAGACAGTCGGTCTGTTCTCACAGCAGCTGAAATCTAATGACTGTGCGAGCTGACTCATTATAAACAGAATATCAGCCTACTGCCTGCTCCTGTCACACAGTCTGCTTTAGGTCATTGTCCTGCTGTAGGGGGAAATAGCCTGCGAGGTCTATGGCCGTTCCCTCCACTGCAGCGCCCGAGGCGTTCACACCTGCTCCATGTAACATGTCAGATATTTCCGAGCACGTTCTTTCTCATCACAACACCTCAAACTTCAAATAAGATTCATCTGTCTGTGACACTTTGTCCCAACGCATCTGTTTAATGTCCCAATGCGCTCTTTGTTTTTTTCTTTCCTCTCAACTTTGCATCCAAACCTGTTTCTCTGGCTGCTATCTCTAATTACTGGGTCAATACTTCGATATCTTATATTATATTTGAAGCATTCAGTCTGTATCGCAGTGCTCCATGAGTTTTATCGTTTCTTGTGTCTTGTTCCAGTGAGGACGTTACGCCTGATCTGTGCCTGTGCTGAGGATTACAGGTGTCTTCATGAAGGGGACACAACTCCCAAAACAGCGGCCATGTGAGTAAATGATCAGCTCCAGTAAGTATCTGGGCCTTTACTGTGGTACTGCACTGACCAGTCTTTCTTTTTCACTAACACACAAAAATGACAAATGTAACTGAGAAACAATGCAACAGTTATACAACACAGTGGTATATTGTTCTTTTAGTTGAATTGCTATAAAGTACACCTCATTAAACTTAAATGAAAGCCCTTTCCTCATTGCATATTCCTCCTAATAGGAAGGGAAAGACTCTTCCGAGATCCGCTCATAAGTACCCAAACATCATTTAAGGGGTCCCTGCCTTGGTAGCTGCCCTGTCAGCTCTCATCACTGCTCATTTAGGTCTGGCACAGCAGGCGCTGTCTTGGGTCTGTTACCCTCCTGTAGAGCGCCTCTTCCTGACCAGGCCCAAAAGTGGGTCGTCCTGGCTGAGCCTGGAACAACACCATGGTCCAGTGAGGAGGTTTGGGGAATAAATGAAAAGGGATGGAGTTTTGTGGACTGAACAGTGATACCCAGAGACAAATGCTCAGTAGGTTGTAGCATGCATAGGGTTCAGCAAATTAAACGCGTTCTTTGTTGACAGAGTTGGACCAAAACTTTGTAAAATAAATGGCAGCAGAGCTCTGCATATTTCTCATCGTGGCTTCGTATTATCGCTGAACTGTATCCGCTAGAGAACGCGTTAAAATCAGCATGGGTTTGGGCTTCATCTGTAATTTGGGCTGACAGTATTTTGGCATTATTATTTATGCAAACAGAGACTGAGACTTCTAGTGACCGCAAGTAAACAAACAGACGCTGGATTTCCTTTACTGAATGGGTGGGGATCATAGTCCTAGAATAAGAGCATTTATGAGGCTGTTAAAAGGACCACACTTAAGTTAAGGTTAGACGTCTTATAATAGGACTCGTAACAGTCGACTCAAAACCTAGGGGGGATATGTCAGCAGCTTTTAAATGGGTTTTATGTGTGATTAATGCTTGTAAAAATCCTGTTTGCTCCAAGAGTCAAGGGGGAAAAACATCTTCCTCCTTCAGAAAGCTCTTGGATACGTTTTCTTCTTTGTACACTCCAGTTGTTGTTGTTGTTGAGCGGCTGAGGCAGTGTCTCCTGCTCCATATCTGTCTCTTTGCATCGGGGCGCTTGTGACGTGATGAGACACGGCAGTGGAAGAGTTCATTGGGCGCAGCACTTCTCAAAGCTTTTGATCCAGAAAAGTTGTGACGTTGAGGGATTTTGATGTGTACCCTCACGACGCTAAAAGAAACAACTGGGCAACAAATGTCTGTCCAAGAAATGCAAACCTAATCACGCTGCACTTGTTATGTGGAAACACGAATCACGCTGTGTCCTGCCACAGCAGACATTTCAATCGGTGACTATTTTAGATTTCACAGAGCTTTGTTACCATCTTGTAGTAAAGATGAAATCTCCAGGTTGGACTGGACTTTGGCCCCAGACTGCCAGCGCTGGCATGTTTTTCTTTGCTGATTGCAGCTCAGTGCAGGGCCATATGTGACTGCTTTTCTTAGTCCCTTTTAAATACAGGTTGCCTTTGTGGATGTCACTGTGACTCACAGAGTGGGTGTTTTTAATCCAAGGCCTGACTCAGATTGGAAAGTCGTTTTTTAAAAATCTAACCAAGATGTTTCACAGACCGAGAAGCTGTGTGTATGTGTTAATATTTATGTTTATATTGCATATTTATCTCTCCTTGTGTATATCGAGTACACCAGTGCAACAACACTGAAGCGCACTATTTATTGTTCGCTGCGTGTTTCCGTATGGATTGATCTGCTGCAGCGTTTCGGTGCCTGACTGGTCCCCCAGCTTTGTCTTCCAAAGATGCATCTGGTCAGGATTTGTGTGCTTTGGCTTTAGCTGGTGTTTTGTTGTTCAGTATATAGAAAAATACAGCGACAAAATGTAATTTAAACTTCACATCACGCCGCTTCCTGCTTTACCTTAAAATTTAATATTTTTATATCATAGCCATTTTGTCCTCTTTCACCCAGACTCGCACTGGGATTAGGGTTGGGACTGTTTCCCATTTGCAGTGTGATAAAGGCGAAGGTGTGCTATACCAACAGAGTCTCGCTCACATATAATAAAGGATCTAGCCTAACAGTTTAAGTGCTAGTACCTCGCAACATTTTCCAGGCTCTTCTCTACTTTTGGTCCACAGTTACCTGAAGTGATTCAGTCTGATTTTACTGTGTATTTGTACAATTGCTCACCTGCCTCTCTGATTTTTCACCATACCCACCCCTTGCACACAGTGGAATCTCTCACCAGTAAATCTTGGACAAACCAGAGAGCAGGCCCGTTAAGTTCTACTTTAAAATCAAAGCAGACAGAAACATCCTCATTCTGTTCTTCTTGCTTTAGTTTTGAGATGCTGATGATGGACTAATGTAGTTGCTACCCACACATGGATTAATTTCAAATGGTGCCGTGTGCGCATTTTGGCTCACGTCTGCTTCACTTATATTACCAGACACGACCTGAAATGTTAGTGTGGCAGATATATTTAAAAAATGATTCTGGCTGTGATTCAGGATGATCGTTAACAGGCTGTTGGAGATCCCTCCGAATGTTGTTGGTCTTTTCATTGATCTTTGACCCAACAACACTAGTTCAATTAAATATTCCCTCAGAATTTAGACGGGTTTCCTTTGGGGTATTTTTTGCTTTCACTGTAAAATAAATTCTTTGTATAACCAAATTAGAATTTTTTTCCTGGCCTTTACCCTTACTCTTTAGAATCTAGTTTTAGTTGGTGGTTTGTTGTTTTGTTTTTTGTACTAGTTGTTGTCTTTTTATTCTGTGAAAAGCCATCTAGTCCTTTTTTTCCCCCTTCCTCTTCTATTGTGATCCTCTGTATTCCCTCTACATCCATTTAATCGGGAAATTTTCTATCTTTCTGCTTCTGCCGTTTGCATTTTTAAACTTGTTGTCCACTAAAGAGCCCTGCAAAGCCATAATGTGGCCTAATCTTCCCTGAGAGATCAGTACTTGTGCATGTGGCTGGACTGCATTGTATCCTTGGAATGCAGAGACACCAGTTTTCGTGTGAGCGATCGATGTGTATGTTTACAGTAGTGAACTCTGAAGATTAGAGTTCAGGGCTTGCGATTGTGTGAGTATGTGAGGTCCGGCTCCCAGCGGTTACATGAGCTCGTCCACACCTTCCAGAACCCGCAGGAGGAGAGTATCCAGTTGCATGTGCACCGGGTCAGTGGAGGGCCAGCAACCTGCCTTCTCACGCAAACTAGCAAACGAGCAGTTAGCCCTGCGTGTGAGTCCTGATAAACAAATGGTCACTGTCTGCACACAGGGAAAATGCTATCAAGCTGTCATCATCTCCCAGGCTGCAATTTGTCCTCCCAACAGATCTCAGAAAGGGAGCAAAGAGGGAAGGAGGGGGGAGGAAAAAAAAAGCTTTATCATTTCCATCCCCGAACAGGCATCCCGTTAAGAGCTACGTTTGATTTAGTTTCCTTTCAGTCCCCTGGAGAGTGCATGCAGTCATACTCTGTGAATGTCACTCTTTTTTTCCCTTCATCTTTATTTATTTGCTTTTGTTTTTCCCTCTTACTTGAACTTACCGCCTCCTTCCTTCCTTTCCTCTGACAGCGGTGCAGACGACCTGTTACCCATCCTGTCCTACGTGGCTCTGCGGTGTCAGTGTCCTCAGCTGGTGTCTGAATGTGCTGCTTTGGAGGAGTTCATTCATGAAGGGTGAGTCATCCGCATGGAAAGTGATGATGTCCCTGGGAGCAGATAAACATACAGTTTGGTGCATAAATACATAAAATAACAGTAAAACGTGAGTATTTTGTTAACATGCTGCCGCTCAGTAAAATCGTATTTATTCCCAAGTTTAAAATTAAGAAACTTTTTGTCTGAAAGGCTGTAATGAGACCTTCCTCAGCTCTCTTAGTTGCCTCTTGTAGCCTGTGGCGTGATTCTATATGAAGGACAAAACTAAAGCTTTGCTTTGCGTCGCGCTTCCATCCAGCAGTGAGCAACAATGGCTAAAGGTAGATCAGAGTCAGCCAATCACTGACAACAACCAGCACACCACCGCAAAAGGACAAGAAAACACTGTGGCTTCAGGTGGTGCCAGTGACAGCATTAGTAAGCAAACAAACAGGGGCTGATAGTTGGCTGTAGCGTTTCAGGCCCTCGGGTGAAGACTGCAGTCGGCATCGGCTGTATATTCTTTATGTGGAGGGAGAGTTTGGATTTTGGAATCAAATCTAAACCAAATTTCTTTCTTCTAGCTAATGATACTGAAGACTAGCTAGCCTGCTAGTTCATTCAGACTCATCTGAGAAGTTGCTGATGGTTATTTTAAACTGGGCAGCTAACGTTGGCCCTGTTTGTGCAGAGTAGCTAAATTAGAGCTAGCTGGCTAAAAATATCCTTACTTGAGAACATTATTGTTATCGAAGTCACAAATATTTCATCAAATAAAACTGAATTCAGAATTATGTTGATTAGAATCTGACTGCTCGACGTCTGCTGGAGACACAAACGTGACAATAAATAGCAAACACACTGACCATGAGAAATGATGCTGACACTGGGTCTTCTGTGCAGATCTAAATAAACACAAAGCAACAGCAGTGCTTCCAGTTTTCATCTTTGTCAGGGTTAAAAATCCAAATCAAATGTTTTTCAGGCTGAAGTTTTGTTCTTTTCTGATGATGATCGGTGCAGAGCACGCTCATGTCACCAGAAGCAGCTAAGTGCTGTTCTGCTTGAGCCATACGTCTTTGGCAGAGTAGCATGTGAGTTTACACACCACACCCAAAAGGTCTCGTCATATCTCCAAAAAGAGTGGATTGTAAAAGCCCGTTGGTTAGACTGGCATTGGCTGAGGAATGTCAGGATATTTGGGTTTTGGGTTTCTTCTCTATAAAAGTGCAAATAAAGTCCTTGAGTTTAGATCATTCATGTTAGAGGAGAGACTCCCGTTCTCACAGAAATGCGTTGAAGTAAAAGCTGCATGAAAAGTATAGAAAGATGGGTTTTTAAAAAAAAATAACTGACCTCGAATCACAACTTACACTTAACTCAAATCAGAGCAGTAAAAAGAAGTTTGACTTTAAACTCAGCCACAAATGTCTCTGATATTTTCATCTGAGGGGAAAAAAGCTGACTGTAAATTCATTAATTAAGGAGTTAACTTAATTTTTAGTCTGCAGTGTGAAGGATTAAACGCTGTGTTCACTGATAACATGAAAGTGCAACTGTTTGTGCGCCGCTACCCTGATCAGTTTGTCTATGATTGTGACTTGGATAAAGATCGGAGAGCATTTTATGAGTAATTGATGCAGAAATCCCGCTAACTGTAGTGGCTTCACAAAATGTTTCTTCTCCTTTTTTCCTTCAAATGCACGTTTTGTTCAGAATTTCCAGATAACAGCTGAGCGATAAGCATCTTATCGCTTTCCTCTTTCTGTCCCCTCTCGTGTCTCGATCCTCTTAGCCCCGGACTCAGAGTTGAGTCCTGGCCTCGTCTGCATCTCGTCTGCTGTCTCTAAAAACCTCCTTGGTTATGACTTGATCTTTTCATATAGCATCCATGACTTTCTTTTGCTCAGCCTGCTCACCGTGTAATGTGTTCATAACTCCAAAAGTGGAGAAAAATTGTTAGTGTAAAACTATAAAACCTTTTACTATCATCCACTTCTCTGTTTCAGCTATTTGATAGGAGAGGAGGGATACTGCCTCACCTCCATGCAGAGTGCTTTGGCCTATGTTGAGTCTCTGCAGCCCGGCGTAGCTCAGCTTCCTGCGGGAAAGCTTATATGAAACAGGTAAGGGGATATCCATACTTCACATGGATGCTTTGAAGATGAGCTTTTCTGTAAAGGTTATTGTGACATTCGTGTTATTGCACAGTGACTTAAACATCCTGCAGAGAATAAGCTTTTCATTACCATCTACCTGAGGGATGCATCAGTGAGATTAATGGGTCAGTGAGGTAACCTGTGAACGCAACCTGGTCAGCTGCAAGTAAAACATCAGAGCCTGACGTGCCTCTGACAGTCAGACGTGTTTGGGCTCGTCTCATTGTTGTGTGCATTAGGGAACATAAACACATAGTGTTGCTATAGCAACTTATTAAAATCATGTAAAAATGTATCTTGGTGTTATCACATATGTACTGTTGAGCCATGCCTGACTGATGTGGCCAAATGAAGCCCAGCTGTAAAGTTACAGCAGTGCAAAGTGTCACTGGAATTTGCCTTCATTCAGATGGTGACGCTAAAACAGTTCGCTGACACTGAATCTGACACTTCTGCAGTGGCAGCTACAAGAATACAGATTAAAACAGTCTGGTGCAGAGTAGGCGCTGAACATACTGAGTAACCTTTAATGTTGAACTGCGTGCAGTTTATTTGCAGCTGTCACTGTAAAATAAATCTATTTGCCCCCTTTTTATGTGAGTGCACGCAGAGCCTGAACCAGAACACCTGGGTTAACAAAAAGTTAATAACCACGTTATACCTGTGACCTCTGACCAGTGTTTAGAGTTTGAAAAACAACTGGTTTGTCTGATTAGTTTAATCACAAAGTTGAACTCAAATGCAACCTTGGATAGCTAGCCAAGTTACAACTAACTGCCTCCAGCTTGCATAGCTCGTACTGCAGGAAGTTGTCAGCCTGGCAAATTTACAAGGCTGATCAAACTTGTGAGTTTGGATGAATTAGCTCAAGTCATCCAGTCGTGACAGAAGTTTTCTGCTTTAGATAGCTAGCACTTCATCTGCATTATAAACCATGCAAACACTGAAAGAAGAAAAGTGGATTTATGGAGTGCCATGTCTGTGTCTATCATGGCTCATCCTCAGCGTCGTGGCTTTACCAGGGAGTCAGCCTTTACTGCTAGCCCCTCTGCAGCCCTCTGTGAGAAGTCCTTTCTGCCTCACTTAGCCTTCACGTCCCAAAACTGAGTAAAACCTGAGTCTGTAGCAGGAGGCCCTGCAACCACTCGGATGAACAAATTGACTCCAGTCTGTTTATTTTTTGTTTTTCTTCAACCAAATCTCCTTTGTGCCGTTTGTCTCCTGCTTACCGTGTGCTCTCAGGGACTGCGTGTCAGCCACCAGCAGAAGTCTGGTTTGTAAACAGTTTTTAAAAAATTATACACAAACATTAGAGAAGTCTGCTCTGACAGAATTCAGTGCTGTTGGTCATGGAAAAATGAGAACGCCGCCAATTTCACAGCAAAATGCTGCAGCACGACCCGTCTGAGTTGACTGACACTGGAAGTGCCGCACACGTGCAGATCCTGAAATATATGATGCAGTTTCATCTGAACGAGCAGACCGATGGATACTTCTTGTTGTGTTTTGATCTGCTGTTAAACGAGCGAACACATTTCCAGTTCTGAAAAGCTCATCTGGAGGAAGGTTTGAAGTGTGGATGCAGTTGTGAAAAGAGGTCGTTAAGATGGAGCGATAGCCGGAGTGAAGTAGACTGAGACTGATGCATTACACCGAGGGATGAGAGTGTCACTGAATGGCCTGTCTGGCACCCAAGGTGCTGCTCTGCAGGATGGGGCGTGATGACACTGCACGTTACAAAATGTGACATTTCTCAACTGGCGTCTCCCAAAACTCCCAGTGACACAATGATTCCACTACAGCCAAGTATTGAACTCTGCGGACTGCTGCGCTGCACAGAGCTGTCAGCAACAGCAATCAGCTCTGTGCCGGAGAAGCAGATTTAGGTTGAATGTCTGGTTATATATGATGTGTAGATGCTTTTCCGTGGCTTTGGCTTTAAAGATGATCAAAGTTCAGATTGGTATTTGAATGCTTGTTTTTAATAATGTACCATAGAAATCCCAGACCACCTCTGAAGTAAGAAACTGTCATCAAACACGAGTCGACATGCGTTATGTCTGACTGTCAGCAGTTATTCCTACTGCGCATTTAATCCCAGTCACTGAAAGTTACCAACACTGACAGTGGAGCAGAGACACGACCACGAAGCAGACTTACAAGTCATCAATCTGCAGCAAAATGCTGAAAAGGTCAAATGCCCGTCTCTCTCTGTACTCAGATATGACCTTCAAAACATTAAGTGCAGGTCAGAGGAAACTGGAGGACTTATCGTTAATGTGCAGCGAGTTTAGGAGACTGTTGCAAGAAGCCTAACAAATTACAATGTTGGCTTACCAAAAAGCAGCTGTTTGACGCATTACTGTAGCTGGGCATGCCACGATGTGTTAGTGGGTACCAGTACACTCATGGTTGTCAATACCTAATAGTTTGATTATGACTGTTTTAAAAAAATTGTTAAATACTTGTTTAATTTGCTCACACGGCAACGGCAGACGGTTGATTTAAAATGGTAACGTCATGTTTTTGACCCGGACTGAAATGTTAGCGTGGCTGCAGAGTAGCTTACTCATGTTACTGCAACATTACAAACATTTTATCCTGTGCAGCAAAGTGAATTTCACACGGAAGCCGTCTCAAAAATCTGTAACGTGCATTTCAAAATAACAATGCAGAGTTCCTTCATCCCCAAGTCTTACTGCTCCTCCTATCGACCAATCACTGCAGAGCTTCAAGTCGCAATCTTCCTGCATTTGCAGGCATCACCCAAGAGCAGCTGTACCACCTGTGATTGTTTCCACCAAGCTGGTAAAAACATCAGCAACACAAATTGGCTCAAAGAAACTTCCATAACAAATAACCTTTTGATATATTTGTGAGTACTGTGCACGTAGTTCTACCCGCAGCTAATATGCAGACCTCGTCCTTGGTTAGGCTGAATAACCAATCAGTACCAATATGAGATCAAACAGTTGGAAACGGCAGCAAAATGTCTGAAGACGCAAGCATCAAATGAACAGTGTGTTCCAGATCTGTGGACTGAACAGACGACCGAACCAACGCTTTTTACATCGTGATGACTTGCAGTCTGCATTGACAGCTCCCCTTGTGGTTACAGCTTTACGCCTGAATTATCTGACTGAATTTAAACGTCAACTTAAAATAAAAGACTGCTTGTAGTTACTTGCAGTACTTTTCCCCCTTCAACCATAAAAAGCCGATGGGGTATTGTAGTCGCTCCTTTTCTGGATTATCGAGGATGCGTAACGACGTGATGGCTCTACTTGTTGCCGCTGTCTGCTCTGAGGCGCTCAGAGTAATGAAGAGTCCTTTTTGGCCTTTCCTCACCTGGTTGTTTCCAGTCACTGTGTTTGGAGCAGTCGGCCCCTGATGAAAGCAACAAAACAAGTTTCGTTTATTAGCTCATCAGTGTGAAAGATGAATCTGTGTTCATCAGAAGACGTCTGCTGGTCCTCTAGTGACCCGTTTCATGTTAGGCACACGCTTAACTACTAGTTTGTTTCCTTGTGTTTTTTAATGTGTATATTTAAGCTTTGTAGCTTTGTGTTTTGTATTTTAATCTAACCCTACCCTGAAAGTACTCACCGCTGACCTGGTTGGTGTTCAGAGGGTGCATTATGAATTTTGGTAATACCCACCACCACCCCAACCCCCTGCAAGATGGGATACTTGTTTCCTTGATCCTCTTCAATAAGATCAGGGAGGATACAGAAATGGCCTCATGCAGCTCATGCAGTGTAGATATTATATTATAAATGTATTGCCAGTAAAATCTTTCCCCATTGTGTGTTGTAGGCTGCTGCACATCCTTCCGTTCACCCCGTGACCCCTGCTGCAGTACATAAAGGCTCCAGCTGAACCTGCAGCTCCCTGAAACTGCATATGCATATTTTCTTGCACACATACAGACGTACGTTACATTTAACCAACCAGAGGGACTAAACTGGTGCCGGTGAGCCTTTTTGACCCCATCAGCGCCTGCTTTGGGACCTGTTGTGTTTTCAGACTGGTTGAAGTTGGACTTATTCAAGGATTGCTGTGTTTGCTGTCCAGACTTCTTCGCACACGCCTTTCTCTGCAGAAAGGATTGAACTACTACTTCTCTCCATCTCAAATGATTTTGACCTTTTTGTGTCCGCGACCTGAGCGCGGCACGATGACCGCTTCCCTGCAGGGACTGACAGGCTCCTCCAACTATGAGGCAAATGCTGTAACAGAAGGCAAATATTCATGTGTTAACATGTTACTGAGAATAATTAGCGTGGGCTTCATTTACTCTCTCCAGCCGATGAAAGAAAACAGCGTTGCTAATGCTGATTTCCACCTTTATTGGCACCAGTTGGACTAATTGTTGCTCTATTTCAAGTATGTAGTTATTAAAATGCAGTTTAATAAGAGCAGTTGCTGTTTGTAGCTCACATTCCAGTTATGCATGAATGACTTTAACTTCAGATTTCCTAAACTCATCGACTTACAAGTTCCCCAGCACAGCTGCACGTTGGTGTTTCAGCTTCCTCTGCTTCCAGAGGGGAGGGGCTGAGCATTTATCCACAGGAGGCTTGGAGTGAAGTGATGTTTATGTACAGTAAGACGAATAAAACTGTCGCATCGGCATCAAAGAAAAGCAGTGTGAATGGGGCTTCAATGAGGAAAAGGGATAACGTGTCAAAACTTAATCATCTGATTCAGGAAACGATTAAAATGTGAAGGAGTTTGATTTTAAAAGCACTACTGAAGTTTACAGTGTGGGGTGCGTGCTTAGACTGAGATTTGGAAAGTCATCTGTTCTAGGGAAACTCTTTTTAAAGGAATGACGCACATTTATAATTTTTGAATGCTTGTGTGTGTTTTTGAGGCATTCAGAGGTGAGGTTGTGTTGGATGTTCAGACGGACTCGGTGATTGGTGGAGATGTAGTGGAGGAGGAGCTCTGCAGTGTTTAGGTTGGGTTTTACTAACTGCAGGCACTCGGGTTGCTTTTCTCCTCATGTGGATGTTTTCCTGCACACTCACATTATCCAGGTTATTTCATAGCTTTTTTTGTATCATAGAGTTTTAAACCTTATTTTGACTCCTTCCTCCCCTCACATCTACACATATTAGATACTTGTCTTTTCTCTGGAAGCTGAGTCTTCAGTGCTGGGATGAGAATCAGTTGGGTCCACTTTCTTTTCTTCTTTAGATTAATTTCCTGCATATTTGGTGGAAACCAGTAGCTCTTTAAATCCCAGAAATCCTCAGTGCAGGTCAAATAACGTGAGCTACACTTCAGCTGTTTGAATGATTTACACTTCAGTTTACTGGATGCATCTTTTTTGTATCCTCCCAAAACATGTGACACTTTTGGGGAGAATTTACTACTGCCTACAATTTCTGACAATTACATAAAGACTTGCCTCTGTAACGTTTACACAGTTAATAAAAATGTCAGAATGTGTTTTGTAAAGACGACTAAGGTGTCGATTTAATGTAAATGATTTATTGTCCACCGAGTCACGGTTTTATTGAACTGCTGTACTGTGAAACTTTAAAAATGATGAATGTGTTGGACAAATTAGACAATAAAGAGAAGAAATGTTGATTTGTTTTGTTTCCTTTTCTTTTTTGTTCCTGTAGAGGGAAAAATACATTTCAAATGAAATGGTCAAAATGCGTTTGACTTTGAGTCATGATACCCCGAGCCTAGCAATGATGTCAGACTTTTATCTTAAGTGTGCCAGACGAGTGAAACTTCCCTTTCTGTCAGTGTAAAGATGTTTGACTGTATTAATACAACATGTTGAAATTGTTGAAGTAAAACTTCAAAAGATCCGAAATGTATAAAATTTCAGGAGAAGCTGTAAAACTTGCAGTTCCTCTGATGACCACCAGAAGCAAATCAGTTTCACATGTTCAAGTATCCAAGTTTACAACATTAATAAGTACATTTGCAGTCTGATAGAAAAGAACCTCTCTGGAGTTCACGCGTTTGTACGAACCCCCCTCTCCCTGACCTTAATCCAATAAAACACCTCTGGGACGTTATCAGTCAGGTTGCACCTCAGCTCAGTGATCCCCCAGGATACCATCAGTCTCCTAACTAGGAGCCACGCCCTGGCATGCATGCAAGCATGGCAGAGCTATTTTGAGTTGCTGCAATTGCGTGTTGGCAAAATGGACTAGCCTACCTACCGCATCCTTTTTTTTAACTTTGAATTCTGGGCCCTCTGTAGGTTGATAATTTTCATTTCCATCAAGTGATGTGCCATCTGCTCATCCCTAACACATTGAGTCCATATCAGTAAAGATGGCCAGCATGATTTATTTTTTCATCTCCTAAAATGTTCCTTTAACTTCTTTAAGCAGTGTGCATGAGCTCAGATGATTATCACAGCAGGTTCGTGCAGGAGAGTTTCCTGCTTTTGCAATTTAAAAAAGAAGCCATATGGAGGTTGGTAACCTCTAATTAGTGATCCGTTAATCAGTGATACAACCTGGAAGATGTCTGGTCTTTATTAACAGAGGGAAACAAAAGTCACTGATGTGTTTTTCCTAGTTTGGTTTTTAAGTCGCTCGGTTGTTCGGGTGTCTGTGTGAGGATGAACCCTGGATCGAGCAGGAGGATGTGATGGGCACATGGCTGAATAACAGCAGAAGCCTGTAAACCCGAGGAAAAAACATGCCACTCCGAATCAGAGGCCGCTGCAGCACCCAGCACGCCCTCCATCCTCGCTCCGTGTCTTTTGTCCCTTTTCCAGTTCATTTACAGGGTTGACCCAGGACAAGTGGCTCATCACTGACGCTGCTGCATGAACCTGAGCGCATGCACTCGCTTTAAGTTTTCTCTCTTGCCGGTGTTCTGTTGTTTTCGCTCTCACTGAAGGTGTGGAGAACATTAAGATCAGAGCAGCGTTTACAAGAACAGCAGTGTTACACACGTCTTGTCTGAAAAAGTTTGAACCTTTTGGGGATTTTGTTCCCATGAAGAGCAAACAAACACGACTGTCAGCATAAATGTAGCTGAAACTAAAAGGCTAAAAGGGAGACGTTAGTGCTTTTCCTTTTTCTGCACCCTTCCCTGGTTAACTAACATTGTTGGTGGTGGAATAACTAAAGCATGTGTGAGAGAAAACAAAGTGAAATTATTTATTAGACCATTTTAAGGTGTCCAGATTAAAGAAGGTAAATGATAAACCAGGGTCGAATGTCAGGGAGGCTTTCAGAAAGGACCAAGAAAAGCGAGGACTGCCTGTGCATGTCGAGGGCTGGATGTTACAGGACTACTCTCTTCTTCTTTTAGCTGCTCACCTTCCTCCTTCTCACCCTATCCCAGCTTCCTCGTCCATCTCGCTCTGCACGGCCTCCTTCACCGCATCCATAAATCTTCTCTGAGGTCTTCCTCTTTTTGTCCTCCTCCCTGGCAGCTCCATCTTCAACCACTGTCCCTCCTCTGCACATCTCAGCTTCGCCTCTCTAACTTTGTCTCCAAACTGCTCGGCCTGAGCCGTCCCTCTGATATTCTCATTTCTAATCTGCTCACTTCCGCTATAAAGAATAAAAAAATCAGGACATGAATGGTAACTTTTACTCTGCAACTCAACAAGGCAACAAGGGCAGCGAGCTCCTCGGCTCCTTGATGAAACAATTTGATAAAACAAGTTGAGTCAACCCCGTAAAGAGTGCCAAAGGCTTCAGCAAATAAATGTTTTAAGAAGAGTTTTAAACTCAGAAAGAGAAGAGGCCTAACGTGCACGGGCAGATCGTTCCACAACTTTGGAGCAGCTACAGCAAAAGCACAGTCACCTCTAAATTTATACTTAGTTTTTGGTAATGTGGGGGTAATGTGCTCAGACTTGACGCGCTGCAGCATTTTGCACAACCTGCAGACGCCTAATGGACGCATCTCTAACCCCACAATACAGTACGTTACAATAATCCAGCCTAGATGTAACAAAGGCATGGATTACTGTCTCAAAAAGCCGCTTTGATAAGATGGGCTTTATTTTGCTCATTGCCTCAAATGAAAAAAGCGAAATTTTACAACAGCTCTGGCCTGGCTTTCAAGTTTATATACGTTCAGATTTCACCATAAAAATCCCAAACTTGAACAGGAGCCACAACACAAGAATCCCAAAACATAACCAGGTCCAGGGACCGATGCACCTCGAGTCAAAGTGCGATGGTCCCAAAGCAAAAGATTTTCTCGTGTGAATGTTTTACTGAGTAAAAACCCGCCGTGATCATTGTCTGTGGTCCTGATACAGATCTGGGTCTAAGTGACTCCACCAAACACGGCTGCTGTCACGAGATGTTCTCTCAGTCTGTTGTCACGCTGTAAACCGCTTTAACAATCCACATTTTGAACCAATGAGTTCATAATGGAGACGGTTAATATGAAGCGCTGGCGTACAGCCGTGTTTACGAGCCGCGCTGCAGCGTCTGCGTCCTGCTGCTGTGGAGCACGCTCCGGTGGAGACAGCACGACTCTGCTCCCCTCATCTCAAAGCTGGCCGCCGATACGACACGAGCCTCTGCAGTGAGTAAACCGATATTAATCACTTCCAAAGTATCGAGCATGCTGACAGCTGTTGTTGCACAGACACTGTGTTTATGGGCTGGTGACTTCTCTGACCCTGTTTTCCACAGTGCCTCCTCAGGCAGGGAGAGATGATATGTCAGGAGGGAAAAACCTGCCTCTCCAGCTAAACTATCAGCCTACGGTGTCGCCCCATGAGTCAACATGCGGTGTGTCGGTTTGTCAAAAATGGAAAGTTGCAGCGCTGCTTCGGTGAGGTCTCGCCGCTCTCACGAAAGGCAGAGCAGCGTGCTGCCAAGATCGAGGCTTGTTTTTAACTTCTGATATAAAATTTTAATTCCTCTCGTCTCAGCTGCTCCAGTGTTTAATCAGCAGCAGATGGGAAGTTTGACACACGCCACCAAACTGCTTTTCTGGAACCGTTTATCCTGCTCAGCTCAGCACTATTGAAATAAATCTATTTATCAGTCAAACATTTTTATCCTCAAAAATGCAAATGACTGTGTGGACTGGTGCTTTTCTGCTCTAGCTGAGCACTCAGAGGCCTTTTACTAAAGCAAGCTCACCCATTCCCATCCCTGCCTGAAGTGCTTCTACACCACACACTCTCGGGGATTCATCGGTGCCGGTGTTTACAACAGGAACCGGGGATTGAACCACCGCCCTTTCACTTAGTACCTGCTCTACTTCCTGCACCACAGCCAAAAAATAAAAATCCCTGCAAATACTGTAGCGTGTTGTGGTTTATAGCACATCCTCTGACAGTGAAAGGGTTGGATGGGCTGTGATTTCATGTGCCCTACAGAAGGAAGACTGTTTCCGACTCGACTCGAGGATAAGAACGTTGGTGGTGGGTGGATGATGAGTTGTGGACCATGAACTCTGTCCCACAGCTGAAGCTTGGAGCAAACTGAAGAAAAGAATCAAGGTGCTGCAGTCAGAGTCCAGACCTGTGCATAGATTAATGTCCCCAAACTCAAGTGAACTTAAGCAAGAGGTCTCATCATGAACCACATGATTGCCACTAAAAGTGGTTCAGCTCCACCGCTGAAATATCTCCTTCGTTAAATTTCCTCATTTCATCTAATCTTTACCCCCACATTTCCATTCTGCCGGCTCCTCAGTCCAGAAGACTGTGACCCCCTCGTCCCCCTAAAACAAAAGCCAGTGTTCTTCTTCTATTAGATTGACGTGAATCACCGGCAGAGCAAACGTGGCCGTTTGCGTTGGCGTATTTGATCGTTTTTGTCCTTTTCAGAAGGGAGAGAAAAGCAGGGAGCTAGAAGAGGAGATGGGGCCCAATGAGTTTCCCTTTGCTTAATTATAATTTGGCCTAATTGGGCCGTCAGCCGACAAGTTCATGACAAAAACTGTGGCGCACTGGCTCCCCGCCCCCTCCAGAGGCTACTACTACCCTACTCTCACTTTCCTCTCTCTGCTTCCTGGTCCAGTTCCAGTTATCCTTGGCAAAAATCTGTTTGCATGAGAAGTTTACATTCTCGAGCCAGCATGTCTGCGTGACGACATACAAGACAACAATGCCATCTCGCAATCCGCTGTTTATTTAAGGGACACACTGTCTGGAATAATGGCTGGCAGATAAAGGGGCCACAGGGGGTCGAGCCGGTGCTTGTGAACGGGACAGAGAGTCACGCTAGGCCTGATGTAAATATGTCCAGGCCGCCCCACCCTAGCATCAACTCAAATGCTTTGAAGTATTTGCATACTTCAGTTTGCTCACTTACAAAAGACATGAACAGTCTCTAAATGTTATGGTAGTTTCATTTTAATGGACGGAGGCAGAATCTCGACCCAAAATGCTGAAAAGCACATTACATAAAGGTTTTCATGCTTTCAGATCATGCCACGGTTCTGGCTCCCACAGAGTGTGTTCGTGTGGAAATCAGTTACAGATTCTCCTGATCTCAACTTGTTAGATGTAGAAAGCACACCTTTGCACAGAATCTTCCATTCCCACCTTCCCACCACCGTGGAACCTCCATCCCTCAGCCAGCACACTGAAGATGGTCATGGATGGGTGTTCTGGCATGAAGCACATTAGGGTCATGGAGTGGACTAACCAGTCTCCAGACCTCTATCCTTTCACAAATCTGTGGAAGAAGCTGAAAAGTTGAGTCGCCAAGTAGCAGCCAAGAAACCTGAAGGATTTAGAGTTTCTGTAAAGCACCAAACTCCCTCCTGAGATGTGAACCGACCTGCCCCCACTACAAGAAACAAACACTTTCCAACAATGGTTTTTCCAACAAGTACTAAGACAGGTTTTCTTTATCGAACTGAGTGACATGAACAAAACTTTTGGTTGATATTCTGTGTCTGTAAATTTTTTTTGTCTCTGGCAGTTTTGTTAACGGTGTTGACAATTAGATGAGAGTTAAGAGTAAGAGGGGAGAATAAGAAAGACACTGGACACAGGAAGTTTTGTTTTTTAAGTTTTGCACTGACAAATCTAAAGGAGAGGTTTTTGGACACAAACATTTGTGATGTCGAGCCAGTTAAAACAAATAAACCAGATGGGTGTGACGCCATCTCACCGATCATGGTGGACAAATGTGAAAAATGCTGCCTTAAAGGTCTAAACTCATCATCGCTGATGAGTCCAACCCCAGGCTTAAACTGGTTTGTTTTACTTACTTTACTGATTTCACCCAAGTCAGGGTTCAAAGAAAATACCAATTGTAACCAACAGAAAGTGTCAGAAACTATTCATGATATTCCCCAAGAAGTCTGTTCAGGTCTTCCATCTTCATCTACGATGATTTGGTTCATGGGAGGCTTTAACCTGTCCCAGCTGACACTGGACAGGAGGTGGGTACACCCTGAGCTCCATATAATGACTAACAGTGAGTAAGAGGCAACCACAGGTCACACCTACAGCAGTTTACAATAACTAAAACTTGCTGTACATGTCTTTGGACTGTAGGGTGAACCGGAGAGTTTGGATAAGCAGAACATCCTACAAGCCACAATGCTAACCAGTGCTGAGGGAAGTTTTCTAGGGAACTTCAGGTGTATCACTCTGAGCAGTGATACACCTGAAACAAAGTACACAGGGTCAGCAGTATTGTCTATATCTTGTTTATTTGTGTTTGTAAAACGTTATTTTTGCATTTTTGCGCTACAAAGAGGCTGAAATTGCTCAAGCTGCTGAATCTGTAACCAGGCAAATGTTGCAATTTTCATCCAGTTTAGCTGCTATACTTGGATGGATCATCTGACTGTATCTGAGCTTTCCAAAACCAACAGTCTGACATGTTGTATGAACTTGCTCATTTAAAGCACGCTGCAAACAAAGCGTCTCCTGGATGATCTAAAAGCTTCTGAAATGATTTACAGAGGTGGCAAAAAGATGTGATGTAACTTTCTCTCACTCCTTTAAAACAAATGCAGAAACTTCACAGAGTGAAGTGCGATTACACCAGCGGGAAACACTGAAGCTCTCAGAGAAGCGAGAGGGAGAAAGTGGATGCAGCGATGGTAAACTTTTAACGCCACCACTGGGATCATGTAGCAACACGTTCTCTTTAGTCGTGGATGATCAATTTCAAGCATACAGAACTCCTAAAGTCTATGGAAGCCCGTTTCCGCCACTAAAAAAAAAAAAAAAAAAAACCCAAAACTCAAAATTTCAAGTTATTTTCTCGAAATTTCAATTTATTAACTCGAAATTTCGAGTTAGCGCTGCCAATCAGTAATCTACGTGAATGACGTCATTTCCTTGTTATGGATACTAGCTTTTTTGTTTTTATTTAGTGGCAGAAACGGGCTTCCATAAAAGTCTGTCAAGATACATCCACAGCTGAAGTGTGAGAGTTTGTTCTCTTCAGCTTTTTAACTGTACCGGGAGGTGTTGCCATGGAAACACAGTTACATTTAGTGCTTCTTTGAGGCCCGGCGACCTCGTTGAAGACAAAGAAGATTTTTGTCTGTTTGCGTCGATTTCCTAAGAGCTATGTTTGGACATTGGGGCGTTGTTGGTAGTAACAGCCACCTGCATGCTGCTGTAGAGCTAGCATGTAGAGCTAGTTTATTAAAACATTATTCTGTTAAACTCGTAGTGGTCAAAACTTCCACTCAGTACAGTCTCTGTCTGTAGATATATTTACATTTTGGACCAGTTGTTGCGATCTTGGCTAACTTGGCCACAGTCGTTATCAATGTGAAGTCATTCTTTACCTGCTCTGTCTGATTATTTGGCCTTAAGACGTCTACTTATACCAAAAATATTTAGCAGAAGGAGCTGTGTGTCACGTCTTCTGTTGATGGCAGAACAGACTATGTAACAACGCACAGAAACAGATAATAGGGAGAAGGCGTTGGTTTTCTTACATATCCTATAAAAAGCACATGCTGAGAGAAAACTTGCTAACGATGTGAGAACAGGCAGGAAAATATGCAACGCCTAGCAAGGTTTCAGAGTTGTATGACAGGAAATCAAAGGAGACTATTTCTGGAGAGTGCAGGAGAAGAAGCAGTGCGATCCTGTCCAGGTGAGGCTGGAGGAAGGTGGGGTCTTTTTTTTTGGAGTCTAAAGGTTCCTCTCCAGAAGGACGCTCTTTAAGTCTGCAGGGCAGTTGATGGTGAAAACGTTGTGGGCGGTGTTCCGTCTTTCGATCAGGGCGGCAACAGCCTCGCCAAGGTCCAGATGATTGAGGAAGCCGGGCGCCATGTGATCAGGAGTGGCTACACCTGTGTTAATCTTCACCTGTCAGAAGAGAAGAGGAGAGGAGAGGGGCTGAATGCAATAGAGGGATGACTGTAGGATGTAGAGCAGGTCGTCTACTCATGTCGGGGTTTGTGCTTCGAGCTTTGGCTCCTCCTGTCCTCATAAAACAGGTTTCAACCTCTGAGTTAAAGCTGTGGGGAGATTAGTCAGCGTCCTGTGAGGAAGCACTGGTAGCAAGATCAAGTTTTAGCTGTGAAATGGCTCATCCAATCATCTCACAACTCACAAGTCCCTGTCCACTTCTCAACAGTTTCCAAAGGCGATTTCTGAGATGTACGAAAACATCTGGTGCATCAGGTTCGGAGACATCGTGGAGGTAGAGACGAGCAGTTCATCTAGTTTGTCAGGCGTAATTAAAAGATCAACTTCTCTGATCTTATACAGGAGATCAGGTAAAGTTTTGATTAATAAGGGCTGATTTCATCAAAGTTGTTTTTCTATCAGCCAAGTTCACGAAGCTTTTTGCATATTCCTGACTAAATATGCATGTTTGCACAAAGGCAGAAATATGCACATGCACTATTTAGATAAAATGCCTGATTAACTTCTGTCATGCAAGATTACAGAATAAGGTTATGTAATGTGGATGTGTTGAAATGTGAGCTGGTTCTCACAAAGGCATCGAGGAAGAACTGAATCTGCATGGGTGGTAAAGTGGTGTCAGTATTACAGATTTCCCCCGAGTGAGCAAATGCCAAAGAAATTCAGGGCTGTGCGTGTGAACACTAGAAAGCAGAGAGAATTACATACGTAGATGATTGTGGAGGCAGGCATGTGAATTGAGCTGTGAGCTGACTTCTTTTGGTCAAGTCTAAAGGGTCATGAGTCATGTTAGCCGACTCTGTGCAGTTTATCTGAGGCCCTGCTGTGCAATCCCATTAATATCTCACCTGGTTGAGTTTGCAGGGCACCTCGGGGTACTCCTCACGGAGGACATGGCAGAAAGCCAGGGTGCTGGCAGCGCCCACTGTGAGGAAGCCTGTACCAGGCATCAGCAGCTTCTCTCCTGCTCCTCCTGTGGCAAAGCAGCAGAACACTACATAAACACACCAGGAATGCAAGGCGAGCAGCTATCGCAGGTGACCCTGCACGAGAGGCAGGGCACACCCACGGACGCAGTCTGTCAGAGTCGGAGAACATGCAGTGAGTAAAATAACATGGCAGCTGTTTTGCTGACCCCAAGTGGACAGAGAGAATAAAGAGAGAAAACCCAACAGCTCAGCCAGACTAAAAACTTCTCTGATCCTTTTGGTAAATTTGAATCTGAATGTATCGTTCCAAAGATGGTAATACCATCCAGCTACCACTAACCACAAACAGTCTCCGTGCTACCCAATCACTTCTGAGCAAAGTCACAGAGAGAGAAGAAGCATCGGTGAAGCAGAGCTCAGCAACGTCGCCCTGAGGTCTGGCAGATGCTACCTCAGTACTACTAGAGAGAGGCAGAACAAAGGCAAAGTAGCACTGCGCCACACACGAACCGCCTCATCCCACTGAGCAAACACACGTCTTCACTACAGGACATAGGCGACATCAGCAATACGACTGCGTTTCTCTGTAATGTGGACGTCGTGGCGACGGAGGGTGCTGTCTGCGATGCCTCACCTGTGATGAACGTATAGGTACAGTTGGAGTCGTCCCTCACCAGGGGGTAGAAGGCCTTCCATGACACAAATGTGCTGAAAAGCAACGTCTCAATTACCTGCAGATTTCACAGGAAAGAAAACATCACAGCACCCCAATGACTCCTGCAAGTGTTTACATGCTGCATGAGTTTAAAGTGAGGGAGAAGAAATTAAATAAGTATATTGGAAAGTGTGTGTGTACTGACCCAGTGTAGATCTTTGAGGGACTGGGTGTGTGGGGGTCCTCCCTGCCACCAGCTGAAGCCCAGAGAGGAAACTATGTCGGTGACTTTCCCCACCTCCTTCAGCAGGGCCTGCTTCGCCTGCTCGGCTTCCTCCTCTGAGCCTGAACACAGAGACGCTGGACTTCAGGAGAGGACAGGCAAACTTGTTTTCTCTAATGAATCACTGAGATCGGCATCGATATAGAACTTCAGCCCTACTGGGGAATAACAAAACATCGCAGTAGAAGATAAACACCTTCCTCACCTGCTGCTGTGATGTCATCTCAACTATCACTGAAGTTTTCTTAATAATGTTTGGTGTGTTTATGGGGTGTAAGCCCTTTCCATACTGGAAAAAATACAGGATTTTTTTTTTTGCACCTCCACCTAATAAATCAGCAGCTGAAAACAATAATTTGACTAAATCTGAAAATAACAAATCACCATTAACGTTCCTTTTTGCACAGGACGCACACTTGATAGGTTACGGCAGAGGTGGACGTCGCTGATGTTCGTTACCCCAAGGTGCAGTCTTTTGCTAAACCCAAACAAGCAGTTATCAGGTCAGTAAATCATTTCTGAGACAGTCGCTAAGATGCACACAAATGATGACAGAAGAAACGGGAACTTTATCACATTGTACGGTGGAGGATTTGTACTTGAATACAAGCCCACAGACTTCTGAGACAGGAGGTCGGTTGGGTTTAATCCCCCCCTCTCACTACCACTGTGCAATTACAGCAGTTTGAAATGTTCTAGTTAGAGTTTGGTGTCATGTCTCTAAGCTGATTATTCAGTACAAATACGAGGGGACGAACCAGCAGGCGGTGATGCAGGGCAGCACTGACATGTCAGAGGCTCAGATGGAAAATTCTGCAGCTTAAATTGGCCGCCAAACAGAGGGTGTGTTTGGTGTTGGACCTGAGGAGAGGCAGGCGTGTTGGTGTGCCTGAGGTTGCCTGCCTGAACTAGCTCACAGGCTTTGCACCATTACTGCTCTATGAGCAGTTGGAGACTGTGTGAGTGAACGAGTACAGACTTTTTTACATTTTCATGCAAGCTGGACGACCCGAGTCTGAAATAAGAATTTACAACATCAGCTCCACTTGGCACAAATTTGAAGGGTCACACTGGAGTCATAGGAAATACCTGACAGTGTGTGATGATAACAAGAACTCATTACCAGAGAGTGCACATGAACAACTATGGTGAATGTTCCTGAAGCTTTGCTTTTTTACCTGTAAAGTTCAGACTTCTAAATGATGAATTCGGTTCATGCAGCTTCGCTTTAACCTGCATGAACCGAACTCTAACTTGCAGAGTGTGAACTTGCACAAGACGCTGTCTGCCCTCCATTACTGAGCAAACAGTGGAACGTGCCAATTTGGCAATCTGGGCTTTAGTCCAAGCTGAACATGCAGACTGGAAAAGCCAGGATTGAACCACCCACCTTCTGATGAGTAGATGATCAGCTCTAACTCTCACCTATGGCCCCACAGAAAGTTAGTAATGAGGAGTGCCAGGAGGAGTGCCTGGAGTTCATTCAGGTGATGTGGCTGAAACATAAGTACTGCCTCTACACCCTTATTCCTGAGCTCACTGTTAAAAAATGGCGCAAAGAGGTTTTTGAGTATTTTCTAAAGATAGCTCATACACACAAACAACCTGATACTAAGAATGATGGTAAAATGAGATTTTCTCATCAGAGTTGGTGACCATCTTGGAAATAAAAACAACCAAAACAGAAAATCGGTCCTTCATTTTCAGATCTCTAACCAGCTTTCTGATAAAAGAGTAAATGAGCCAGTTATGGTGCTTGTATCCACCTGAGAACGGTTTCCCTGCAACATTAAGTTCACTGCTGCACTGCATGTGAGGGTTTCTACAGATTTAGTGCAGCTCTGGTGCAGTATGTTGCCACTCCCATACTTTGCAGGCTCTCTTTTGCACAGTTTGGATTTGTATTTAAAGTGTTTGCTGGGGAGGAATCAGTAATTATGCGATAAGGGCTGTGGACAAGCGCAAACAATCCTCAGAGCAGAGACGGGCAGGATGAGTAACCTGACTTACCCACATTTCCCACTATAGTGGTGAGGTTATCCTTTGTGTTGGGAGAGACAAACGATCGGAGTTTCTCCAGGCGGCTGCTGTCCCTGGAGATCACTGCAACTTTAAAACCTTGACACACAAACACACAGAGACCTTTAATACAGAGACAGTAGGATGGAGTGAACCTGTGTTGTTGTGCTGCTTCTGTCAAGGTCATCAGAAAGTGAAATCTGACCGGGATGTCGACAGTAACTTACTGCTCAGTTCAAACAAAGAAGCTGTGAGCATGCAACCAATAAACTCTCATCTCAGCTTCTTCCTTCCTGGAGGCACAGAACGGTAAATGCCCACAACAGATTTCAGCTTTAAGAACACAACAGAATCCAAACAGGGATGAAGCTGAACTGAAATTATGCTCTTTTAACTCTCGCCATAAACTGTAATTTAGTTTAAGATGATGATGATAGGAGTTCAGATCAATTTCGATATGATTTTATGAGACTGTGCTGATAAAACCACCCACACAGCAATCCCAGATATGACAAAGCCAAACTGTACAATGACACACACAATGACACACACAACTGCCTGAGAATGTTTATTCTGTCTTTACTGTTCCAAAGATTTCCTGATGGGACATGCTTTTATTGACAATGAAGCATTATTATGAGAACTCCATTGTGTCATTTTGGTAACTCCCCCTAAGTCTTGATTAAAGGAAGATTAAAGGAGCCTGTACAGTAGACTGAACAGCCTGTTGTTTTTGACACGTCTATGATTATTAATCCAACATTTTATTATCAACTATAGATCATTTGTGTTGCAGTTTAGTTTTATGAGAGTGGAAGGGGATTTTTGGTCGATCAGTTGTCACATTGCGCGCTCAATTTTATTTTTACCCTCATAAAAATGTGATAAGCGGACCTGTCGGTGTAGAGCGTGGCATCGAAACCCCAATACAGTGTTTTACGCACGCGGGCGGATCACTTATGGCGAGTCATTATTTAATTGTCTAACAATTCAGACACAATAAAACAATAATAAGTATAAATAAGTAATAACTGTATTTATTAAAAGTGGCCATACCGCACAAAAATCCCCGTAAAGTGTGTACAGTGCGGTTTATAATGATGGAGTTCCTCACGCGTAAAAGCCAAGGGGAAAGACACCTGCGCGTAAAAACGCATAGATGTCCCAAAGATTTGTCCTCCTCTATTTCACTCAGTTTATTTTCCCTGCCAAATGTCCTTCGAGCTACAGAGAAGCTTACCTTTATCCAGCAGTCCTTTAACGATCCCGGAGCCCACTTTTCCCGCTCCTCCGAGAGCTAACACAACCCTGTCCGAGTTCGACATGCCGACTGTAGCTGCACAGACCTGCTGGAGGATGGAGGGTGGAGGATGACTCTGTCGATGCGAAGTGAAGCTGCTGGCTTGTGCAGAGCATCCTGGCCGGACCGGGATGCTTTAAAGGATCACGGGTCCGCCCTTGTCTACGGGGGTCACTGAAGCCACGCCCATACTCTGTCTCCGTGTGTATGTGTATCCCGGCACGGCTAAATTTGAAAGGACCGGTGGAGAGATTTAAATGTGGGAAGTGGGAACATGTACTGAGCGCGAGGGCACCTTTCAGGGGTGAGGATAAATTCAGATCTGTGACCATTAATTCAGGCAGTCAGTTTATTGGCTCGATGACCAGTTTAAGTTACTACTGAGTTCAACATAATATTGCACACAATGATCTAGAAAGGTGGTAAAGCAGCATATGCTCCATGATGGGCCTGGCTGTTCATTCATAAGTACACCGCTTTGTGAGTGTGCAGTCAGGTCTGCCCCGTGTGTGATGTCAGATTGTGGCAAACTAAGATGGGAGCAGCAAAAACATTCATCTCAAGGCTTCACTAAAAGGTTTCTGTAAACCAGAGATTATGGTTACATCCATCTGTTATATACAGTCTATGTTAATCTGAACTCTGCATCAAATGGGCTCAAAACAAACAAAACCCCGAAAGTGTTACAAGATTTTGACAGAGAATTTACAGCCTTGATTGGGACATTCTGTGACCTCTTGTCACTTTGGGTAATGAACTTGTGGTATATTATCAGGAATTATATTTCGTTAGTGCAATACAACATTTATACTTTTCTCACAAATCTATTGCTCAGAGCTAGATATAAACAGAAACACATTAAATCCGCCCTAAAAACAACCACAGAACAAATACTTTTACAGTTTATTTGTATAATGTATGGATATGTTCCCATCGCACCAGAAAAGCTCTGCTAAAGAGTTTAAACTAGCTGCTCACCTGTGATCATGTCAGTAAACGTCCTCACAAAGACAGGAAGACGTGTGTTTGTGTGTCTGCGTGTGCCGTGTCAGTGGTTCATGCAGAGGTGAGGCTGCCGCAGCAGGTGAAATGCTGCCATCTAGTGGCTGAAACTACACGCAAGAAAACTGTTGATTTAATCGATTTATTCGGTAGCACACTTTGCAGCTTCTTTCTGTTTCCACCTTTTCTGTATTTCAGCCCGTTTTTACATCACTTTTCTTTTAATTTAAAGTAATTGTTCCACTGTTTCCACCCACCTAACGGCACATCCAGGAACAACTACCAAACACACCCTGTATAAACTGGAAATCCCGTGCCACGTGACAATGTTTACGTTACCCAGATAATCGAGCAGATTGTCGTGTGGCCGGACTCGCCAAAACAGCTGATTACGTGCCAGGAACGGGTGAGTCTGTGTGTCAGACACGTTTTATATCGAACAAAGCCAGACTCGCCCACCTGTAGCCAGCTGCGTTACGTTAGCTTCGCATACCTACGAACATACCTTCATGTTCTCTCAGTCCGAGTTTTCCTACAAATTATACCGGTTTTCTATTGCCTCGCGCTCTGGCTTAAAAACACACATTTTAAAACTTAAATCGTTACGTTTACAAGTTTATCGGGAGCGTACGTGTAATTCGGCGTGTTTTCAAAACGACATAGATGTCTTCTTAATATGAAAAATGTACATCTTCCTTGGGGAGGTTCAGCCGCTTCCTCGCACTTCCTGGGTATTTTCCCACACAGACTGAGCCTGACATCACACTGGGAGGTTGATAAAAGTTGATTTCGCTTTCGTCGACGGATTATATATCGGCCGAACTGAAGAACAGCTCGGTACCAAACTTCCCTGCGCCACTTCACCGCAAACTGGGTAAAGTAAGGAAAACAAGCCGGTTTACAATGTGCGGGCGGCGGGTGCGTTCACTGTCCGACCCGTAAGTTCTCTTGGGTAACTAACGTAGTAGACGCGGCTAAGCTAATGCTAAGTGGGGCTGTTAAAAAAAAAAGGTTCTCGTTTTTCTCGTTGATGAGCTTGAAGTTCCCAGATGTTCCCTGAAAACACGTTAAAGTTTGGTAGATGTAAAAAAAAACAAAGTGAGTCAACTTATTTTCACTTATGTTAAAGTTTCACTTTCGTTATTAACATGTGCTCAAAACGAGTCGCAGCTGATACAGAGTGTGCTATTTAATGAGGCTAAAGGTCGAAATGTTTTATATTTCCAGTGGCCACAGTTACGTCAGCATGTGCTGCAGACATAGCAGGAGCCTGGAAAACACCTGTGTGTGTGTGTGTGTGTGTGTGTGTGTGTTTAACTTTAGTCACACTGTAACTCTTCATTGAATAGTTACTAAAAGAACAGAGAAATATAGTCAATCCCATTGGAGTGAAATGAGGTGGAATTCAATTCATAGGACACTCCCTCAGTGACATCCGTTGCCAGTGGGCACTGTTAGGTTGATGCACAGCAATAAGAAAAAAAAAGGTGTGACTCCGTTATTAGGATCATCTTGGTTTATTTTTGTCTCTCTCTCTCTTATAAATGGATGAAAGAGATGAGCTTCTCCCGGAAGAGAGACGTAGATCTCAGGGGCGCCTACGATCGCAGTTTGGAGCGCCAAATCGTGGAACAGGGCTCGAGCCTGCCGTGCAGAGATGAGGAGCTGTGGAGAAAGGTGGAGGGACTTATGAAGGAGGGAAATGCTCAGGAGATCCACTGCCTGGGTGTGGATCCACTGAGGGTGATGGAGGAGTCGCTCAAGGCAATCACAGCAGCAGGATGGAGCAGACAAGTTGGAACCAGAGGAGGCCTGCAAGGCCTGGCCAAAGCCTTTGAGGTGCTGGAGCAAGCAGCCTTGAACCTGTACCTGGGTCCCTGGAGGAAGGAGTACACTGTAATCCAGGTGGGCCAGAAGAAGAAAAAAGTTCATGTATTCAGTTAAAATAATCAAATGTGATTTTAAAGTTTCACATTTTGTGTCCCAGATGTACTCCGGCACGTTCACGCACTACATCACCCCGGTGCTGTCGACGGCTCAGATCGAGAACCTGTTCAACCTGTTGGGCTACGAGCTCAGCGCGTCATCATCTGAGCAGCTCCATCTCCAGACGCACAGAGTGAACTCCACCTCTTCAGATACCCTCCTTTACTTGTCTTGCGCCTTCTTCCTGGCCCGCTGCGAGTGCCACTTTCTAACAACAGCGCTGGGGAAGCACTGCGGTGACACCCAGTGGGAGCTGAGCGCAGTGATGGAGAGGCAGCGAGGAAACGGCCTGCAGGTATGTGACGCTGATGCTGAGATCTTTTGTTTTGTTTTCTTTCAGCCTTGGTGCAGCCAATCGCTTCATTGTCTGCCTCAAGCAAGCTGTTTTTAACTTCCACCCTTTAAAATCTTAGAAAACGTTCCTCACTAACCCACTAATCTTGCTTTGTCGTACTATGTTTGGTCCAGGAGGGTGTACTGTGAGGCAAAATGTTTAGCAAAGAAAAGTGTCAATTGTATCATTTCTTTCTTCCTGCTAATAAATGCAACAGTAGGATATGAAATACCTTAATTGACTTTATTACTTATACCTCCCTACAGGTTGCTGTGGAGAACACCAAGAAGATGCTGGAGGTTGGCGAGGCCCTAATGGAGCAGCCCGATGGAGACGTGGATCTGTACACCGATCCGGTTAATGAAGGGGACCCGCAGATGGTTGTCAACAAGGAAGAGAGTCCCTGCTCATTCATCTGGACGACAGCCGACAACGTATCACCCACCACTGTCAAAACACACAGCAACGGAACAACTGCATCATTCCCACCGCGAGAGCCGCTCACCGGCAGAAACTCCGCGGACAGCAAGAGGCCAAGCTGGCGTTCCCCTGGTGCTACGAGGCTGGGTGAAACAAACTCTGAGCCTCAAAGTCTGCAGGTAGATCCAATCGAGGCTCTGAAGAGCGAGGATGGCGACCACAACCTCTGCAGGTGCGTCCAGAACTCAGATTCTTGTTCTTACTGCTCTGAATGCAAAACCCTGCACGATGAGACCTGTGCAGTCCTTAAGATTTGCAGAAAGAATCTCCACAACGTGAAACAAGTGAAGAAAATGCAGAGTGGAGGCCTCAGATCACCCACTCTCACTGGCAGCAGTGCAGCAGTGAGCTCCTTACCTCTGAGTGAAGACCCCGCATCAATAATTGCACTCCCTCCTGCCATCGCCTACCACGAATGCTGCGATCTCAACAATCCAGACCCTCAGATCCTGTGCCACAAGTGCAGAGTCTTCCACTTGAAATCCTGCAACATGGCGAAATCCTGCCAGTCACTCCATCGCAGCACACAGCTGGGAAAGTGCTCCTCCTGTAAAAAGTGGTGCTCCAGAAAGCCTCTGGTCCTGTGCAGATACTGTGGAAACGAATATTGTAGTGCCTGTTGGTTCAGAAATCCGCTTGCATGCAGCTGTGGCCAAACATTTGACCAGTCAACATCTGTGTGATAAAGGTCTGAAAAGCTTTGCACTTACGAGATGCATTTAGCAAAAGTTACAGTGACTTAAATCTGCGTACTGGAACTGAAAACGCTGCCTTGAAGTTCTGCCATTGTGCCATTTATTTGATATTTGCATGTAGCCTCGGTGTGGTGTGGTTTTGCGCTCGCAGGTCGCTTTGCGGTAACTCGTGACGCAAAAGCAAGTGTTTTATGTTTGTGTCCTGCAGCAGACTGCAGGAAAAGGGTCAATGTGCCATTAAAGTGTACGTGTGGTAAACGTGTGTAACATGGGATGAATTGGCGTGATCACCGTGGTGTGGTGGGTATGATTTAATATAAAATCAGTCACAACATTTAAAATGTAATTGCTTCATAACTAACACTAAGAACCTTCATTTTTCTTTATTAGAGAAGTTTTCAAATATTACTTTTTGGCAGGTTATGTGGCTTTCCTTTTTTTTCTTTTGTTGTAATTTGCTGTGAAAGGTAAAAACAGCTGAAACTAACGTTTGTTGTAACTATGAAATTATTTTCTCGAGTAATCATTTGGCCGAGTGCTGAAATCTGCTTGTTTTTGCCTTTAAGGTGACTTCACTGTTGTCTAAAGCACATTTTCTGAAATGTCAGTGGCAGCTGGAAGCTTTGTTTTCCTAGCTTTTCCACTGTCGCCTTAATGCAACATCTCAGGAACACTTTAAGGGAGTCTTTCCACGTTTAGGACAAACATTTGTTTACACCAAATGATTTGTCAAACTGCATTGTACTCTGCTAATGCTGCAATGTAGCCTGACATGCACCCTTCCCAGAAATGTAGCTGCACGGCACAGCAGCGCCGACCTCGGCGGCGGTCATGCGTCTGTGTGATATTCATACACGGTGCAAAAACACAAGAATAACACTTCTTTCTGTAAAAACCTTTTGTAACCGCCTGGTGTCAGCCTTCTACCAGAAACTTTTCCTGCAGTAATTCACTGAGCGTTATGTTTACTTCTGTTTGAAATGAATTTGTGTTGCTGTCTTTAAAGACGTCTTGTAACTAATCCGAGTCTGTTTTTTTTTTAAATAACCATTCCTGCTGTTGTACTGTGACAGATGCTGCGTTAGCACATAGTTACTAATGTTAGAATATCTCATGATGACTGAGGGCAGATTGGACTTTGCATCATCTCGTGGTTCAAAGTGATATTATATCTATTTATTATTGGGGGTTTTTGGAACCAAAAATGTTCATATTTGGACAAAGATCACAGTAGCCAGAGCTTGGTGCTGCTTCGTCCTTTTTCAGGTGCTCAAGCACTCCCAAATGTCTTCACAGCACACTTAAATAAACTATAGATATAGTTGTAATAATGTTTTTTAGGATCATTTTTTCTGATATTATATTTTGCTAACTCATCTACAGCAGCCAGGATTGTCCAGTGGTGTTGATGTCATGATGTTACAGTGCTCTCACATTGGTGCCGCTGCTTTAACAGCAGATGACATCATGGATCGACTCGTTTTTGGAACCGGCCCCCAGTGGCCATTAGAGGAACTTCTGGCATTTACCCACATTTACGTTTAAATTTTTAAATGCCTGAGAATGAAGTTGAACACAGTCAGGCTTTCTTTGCCTTAGCTGGCTCAACAAAACCTGAAACCTCAGTTTGAGATATGAAGAAAAAACACAATGGTTAGCCACTTTGCTAAGCTAGCCTTTTTGTTTCGGGTTTGACACGTGCTCACATAAGATGCAGTTTGTGGGGTCATGTGACTCCTCCCTCCACATAATGATCCTTGTGAGTGTCCCCTACTCCAAACAGGGATGTTGTCAGAAAAGAAAAATATAACAGTAAAATGCTAAACTGCTGGAAAGTTGGTGATTTTTGCACATTTTAATTCAAATTCAGTTCATTTTAAACTGAAACTCAGGTTATGTGTTCATCATTACCACGGTGGTTTAGCAGTTTGAGAAGTTTGTGACACAGAAAAGTCTTTAAGCTTGACAAAGCTGGCTAAGTCATTCATCTTGCTTCGTACCACAGCCCTCAGGTATCCTGTAGACAAAAAACCAGCTTTCATAACTTCTATAATTAACATTTTAATGACACAAATAATTGCTTATGTGTTGAAAAGCAGTTTCCACGCTTTATAAGGTAGCAATATTTTAGCCCACATCAGTGTTTTGGTTTTCCAGCTGTTGGAGCCTTTTAACTGAGTCCTGCCCAATCGTATCCTTTCTTCACTATGATGGAAGGCAACAACATTTAAAGATGCATTCTGCATCCTTTCAGCATTTATTGTCAAAGTACAGATCTGTGGTCCACAGAAACCAGAAGACACATTCACATGTGCATCGCCAGTTAGCCAGTCTGCCCTGAGCAGGTGTTCACTCTATTCGTTGTGTGCCTGCCAGTTGATATTAATGAAGGTCTTTGTGTCCATGCGGTCGACGTAGAGGACGCCGTCCAGGTGGTCCATCTCGTGCTGGACGATCCGGGCCGACCAGCCACTAGCCTGCCACGTTACAGCTTCGCCATTTTCATTGAGACCTGCAGGGTGAGAAGACAGAAGCCCGAGACAAAGGCACACCTTACAAATGTGGACACTCTTAAATGAGACGTGTCACTGTTGAGCTTCAAGCATGCGTACCAGACACTTCCACAGACAGGTAGCGGGGAACCGTGGCAGAGAAGCCCGAGATGCTCTCACAGGCCTCCTGAAACAGCACCGTCCGACCATCCAGCACCCTCAGCTGTGGGTTCACAAAGATCCTTAGGGGCTGGACGGAGAGACCGCGGACCTCCCTCGTGGCAGGCGAGCTCTCTTCAAACATTTTTTGGGGATATTCCAGAGCCAGGATCCGGAGTGGCACGCCAATTTGAGGCGCACTCAGTCCCACGCACTCAAGCTTCCTCATTACTGCCACCATAGTTTTAATGACACGCTGGATCTCAGGTCCCGTTACAGCTGAAGGGTCCACAGCAGCTGCATGTGAACGCAGCACCGGGTCTCCTACCTGACACACATGGCTGTACGGAGGACTGGGGGGGGATATGATCTTGCGTTTGACGTACTGCAGGTAGGAGCGCACTTTGACGTTGGATAAGGAGCGTCTACAGGGTAAGGTGTGTGGAAGACGGGTGGAAGCTGCTGCCATCAGGCTCAGGGCTCCGGAGCGATGGCCTTTAGATGCATACAGTCTGAGCCCGGTCCAGGAGAGCTGGAGCAGAGACACTGAGGACGTGTTCATGGTGGGACTGAGACAAAGAGACAAAAGGAGGCCATTTAGGTCGGTCAGAGAAAGCAAAGACATCTTTTGACACTTTGTTGACTTCCATCAGTAAGAAGGTTTAAAATACTGCTCATTCCTCTTCTTTTAAGAGGTCACCACAGATCATCACATCTGCCACCGCATCTCTAGCATCCCCATGCCTGTTTTTGCTAGTGCCACCATCTTCAAACCATACAGCAAAACTCAATTTCCCAAGTCGCACCTGTGTTTCCGAACCAAAACAAAGATGGCGGACACCGGCTAACACGAGAGGGCCGCAACTTGGAATTTTTAAAAAATATTTTTAAGTGTTTAGTGGACACCCTTTTTATTTTAATGACTACAACTAACACGTCCGGTAAGTCTTACGGCCTTCTATATTTTCAAGCATCGCCGTTTGATGCAGAGAGCTCGATGGTTAGCTCTGTCATTGAAATATAAGCTTATACCCAAGAGCTACAAACTGCATTACCAGCATTACCAGCCACCCTTGAACTTGTTTATATCGCCGCGTGATTTCTTACATCACGCTCTTTAATATTACCCTCAGCACACATCAATTAGAGAAACACCTGTTTAGCGTTAAGTCAGACACCACCTAGCGGTTTGTCCAGGTGCGACGAAACATGCGCGCCAGTTCAAGAGCGACCGTGAGCTGTTGAAGCTAGGTCGTTAGCATGTTGATGTAACAATGAATAAAAATTAAAAGTCAGATAACTGTCAGCACTGACTGAGCGCAACAAAAACGAAGCCTTGCAGCTTCCCGTTACCTCATAGAACCGTCTGAGCTCCGCTGTGGATTAGACAAGACCGCATAGTTTGGAGGGTGAAGTCAGGGCAGAGACATTCACGGCTCCGGTAAAGTTCTTCCTGGTCAACCACGCTTTCACAATAAAAGTCCATGTGCTTACCTATGTAATAGAGCAGCCCTTTTTTGTCACTGTGCATTTACAACGAAATATGGGCCAATTATGGCCAATAGAAAAGGCACACATGGGAGAACAAAGTGCTCAAAAGTAGTGCAAAGGACTTGATCTAAGTATACAGTGCATGTGTGAGTGAGTTACTCAGACCGTGACTCGGATCAGATGATTGCATCACGTAAACATGTTTTGTAATAAAAACAAACAAATAGAATCACTAGACACATTTATTGGCTGCATAGATATTAATTATCATAGGAAATTAAATCTTGATGACTGATTTTGAGCAATTTTTATACAGTTAACTAGTTAGTTCAAATTTAATAACGTATAAACTTATTGAAGAAAGACGGAAACACCTTAATATTCATCAGTTTATATCTCTATATATCCATATACTGCTTTAACATTTATTTCTCCTTTTTATTTCATATTGTACTGTGTTCAACTTTACAGCAGATTCATCTCAAACTGATAAATGTCTGTTCGGCCTTTAAAGCCTGAACCATTAAATAGTTGACAAATAATAATGATACCTTTTATTTTAGAATCGAGTTGAATTGAATCTTCTCACAATTTAAAAAACTTGTAGTTGAGTTTTAACCCTTTAAAGCCAAGCATATCGTATTTGATACACGTGTTTTTGTGAGTTTTTGAGACTTCTACATGACTTTTTTTACCCTCAAAAAATGATATAAATTGCATGACACGTTTTTAATTCCTAAATTGCAAACATACGGCTAATGTAGCAAATGTGATACAAATTAAAACTCATATATGCAGATTAAAATGTGATATATTTTTAGATATATTTTGTCTAAAGGTTCAACAAACACTCCATTATCAAAAAACGAAAGATTTCTGGCTGTTATTTTATGGTTCAGGCTTTAAAAGGTTACCTGGTATCATGTTTGCTGAATCTTTGTGCAATCTATTAGTTTTTCGAGGAGGGAAAAAATAACACCGATGACGAAGTCTGAAAAACTCAAACATGAAGCAAATTTGACACACTTGGTGTTACAGAGAGAGACGGGGTTTCTTGCTTCCTAAGCTTTTATTTTGAAATGCTAAATAAAGGCATGCAAAGGAAGTTATTTGCAACATTTAAAAAAAAAAAAAGCCGGGGATGTTCAGATGCGTAACATCCTCAACTTGCCGGTACATGTCCAGCTGTGGTGGTTCGGGGGTTTAAGGAGGTGCAGCGGGCTGATGCTCTCCTCCGTCTTACCTCCACACAGCCCGCGGAGCTGAGCTATGGACGGAGGGGAGCTGCGGGCTGGACGCATGCAGAGCTTCTCTAAGCTGCCTGTGTGGATCATAGAGCATGTCTGGACTCACAAGATGATGGATATACAACAAGGTTGGTTCTGGGGATTTTAATAAAAAGTTTTAACACAACAAAAACTTTATTGAACACCTTTGAGTGTTTTTTATACTGATGTAGAAGAAACATATACATGAAACTTGCAAAGCTAATCTCAAACAGCAGAGATAAAGAAAGTCTTAGAAACAAATGTATTCATGCCTTTGCGTTTGCTTGTGACATGCTGGCTTCATTTTGTGTGCTCACAGTTTTGGACCTGTCCAGCTGGCCAGATGTGGACTCCCAACCTCTGAGTCTGGAAGACTCGTGGAGGCTGCGCGTCGTCTCTGCTCAGGTCTATTCCATCATAAAGAGCAGGGACCTGGAGCACTTTGAGAGGGTGATAGGGTTTCTGGAAACCACGTACCGACTTCTACCCAGACTGGTTCCTGCCATCAAACACATGAAGATTATGTTTGGCCTCAAGACCATGGTAGGGAAATACGTAGTGGTCCAGTAAGCATGTACAGGAATGTCAAATGGGGTTGTTTCTTCGTGAACGTTCACCTCCTGGTGGTTCCTGTGTCTCCTTCCAGGTCATTATGTGGATGCTCAAAGAGGGCCGGGGAATGGTTGACACCGTGTCAAAAATCGGCCAGTTCTTCCCGAGCAAACTCCCCGAGTACCAAGACCAGTGTGTAAGTGACCTGCCCTGCACCGGAACTAACTGGAAGCCACTGTTGAACTGGTGGAGACCAAAACTGAGTTAAAAGTACCTGCCTTATATTATGCATAACTCACCGAACAGCTCCGAACCACTGGGGCACAAAGCCTCCGGGGGTGTCCTGTTGGGTCTGAGTGGGTTACAGGATCGGACTTGTCCTGGCACGTCCAGTCGGAGGCTTTGTTATGTTCATGAGCTTGTATGTGCTGCTGCTGTCTTGTCCTGCTGAGGGAGGCTGCTACCTTTGAGCAGTGTTGTTGTCCGTTGGAGTGTGTTTTGTCCGCCGCGGTGTTTGGTTGGGTGGTAAAACATGTCGAGACCGAGGTTTCCCAGCAGAACTCAGCACTGGAACACAGTGATGGCTGTTGTTCACCTCACCTGTCAATGATTTTATTATTGTGGCTGATTGAGCTCTAATAATTGTCTTATACATGTTGCATCGATTGTTTCCTTTAAATGAACCCCTTAGACATCAGGAAGAAAGATGGATAGATACTTTTTGATCCCACATAGAAAATGATTGTGTTACAGCAGGATTAAGAATATAAATGATACATTTTTATAATAAATATTCAAGAAAGGTAAAGGAAAAGTTCAGACACCAGACAGGAAGCATCAAACTCTGGATGTCTTCCATAGTTTGTGGGGGGGTTTTCCTGCCTCCCTCCACTCACCCCCCAACCGGTTGCTCAGATGGCCGCCCCTCCCTCAGTCTGTGAGGCTGGCTCTGCTGGAGTTTTCCTTCCCACTGTCGCCAAGTGCTCATACTGGGTTGTTTGACTGATGGAGCTTTCTCTGTATGTTGTCCTGACAAAATAAAGTGTTGTGAGGCGACTGCTGTTGCGATTTGCTGCTATATAAATAAAACTGAATCGAACTATTTGTTCGTTTTTGCCTCCTCACAGATGGCACACTGGTGGTGTGCTGTCATAGACTGTATATAATAGATGTACTTCATCGCTGTCCTCACCCGTTCTTTCTCTTTCAGTCCTCTTTCTGAAGCCTCGAGCGAGGCGCTTTTATTCTGTAAATAAAATAAATCGTGCATAACATTTTGTGTTGTTGCATATTGAAAAATGTGATAGCATACCTGGAATTGGCTTTTGGGAACAGTTACAGTTGCCTGCATGAAAAACTTTACTTATATCAACAGGTGATTCTATGTGTTCTGGTGTTTTTTGCACAGAGCCAACGAGAAATGTTCCTCATGAGGAAGAACCACCTGGACTTTAGGACTCTGGCGCAAACACTTGCTATGGACAAAGACAAACTTGAACATTACATTAAGGTAAATCTCCTGTAAGTGATTATGAGACAGATCCAGAATATTCTATATACATTTCAGTCCCAATATATTCATGGCCTACGTGATTCATGCACATTCAGCACATTTCTAAATCATACAGTTTGGGATTTGTTGGATAAAGGCATTGCAGTTTCCCCAAAGTTATGCTTTGAGACACAGTGCTGTTCACAATAATCAGTCGGGTTTGATCAAACCTCGAGTGTTTGGAATTATCATAAAGGCAACCCTGCATGTATTTGTACAACTAGATTTCTTAGTAGAGAAAAACTCATCCCAGCTGGGCCAAAAATGAAGCGGTCCTAACTGTGGCCAGCAGGGTGCGCTGCAGAGCTACGATGTACAAAATCTTTCCGTGAGCTGCAGAGTCGTAGCGCTGCCAACCTGAAAAAGTGATCAAGCGTGGAGGAACAGTAATGTGCTAGAACTTTGGACATTGGCTGCTCGTTCTCAGTCCTTGCACCACTTCCAGAGGAATGGGTTTTTTTTACACTTAGCTTGAATCATTCAAGCAGTTTGACAGACATAAAGTCATATTTTTGCACCAACAAAGTGATTCCCAAACACGTCTTTCATGATTGCATGCTCAGTCATCCAGGTAAAGAAATCCCAAAAAGTTGATTCTGCCCATCTGGACGTAGAAACGGAGTGTGGCTCAAGACTTTTGCACTTATTATGCTGAATTTCATGGGATGATGCCTTTTGTCTGTCTTGCAGAATGACATGGACGAGCAGTATGGGGAACGGTATGCCCAGAAAGTCGAGGACAGGCTGCTGCATTATCTCCATGAGCTGGATGCTGTGTTACAAGGAGATACCTACATTGATAAGGTGTGTGTGTGTGTGTGTGTGTGTGCAGGGTTTAAAGACGCGTTTGTAAAAATGAGAGTTTGAATGTAGATAAACTGTCCCGTTGGCTCTACAGCGACCTCATGTGGTCAAAAACTCCACAAGTTTCCTTTAAGATTGTTGATGAGGGAAATGAAGACGAGCAGAAATGCCAGCAGTGAGAATGTCTCGCTGTGATAACTGAACATTTGTGCTTCACTAGATCCTGAAGAAACAGAGCCCTGTGACTGAAGAGGAGAAGCTACTTTTAGAGGTGATAAGCTCTGACTCCACCACCATAGCTGCGACCCTGAAGAAGCTGCTGCACTGCGGTAAGAAACAGCTCAACATGAAAAGTTCACCTCAAGTTTACATCATAAAAACGTTATATTTTATTGTATTTTAGGGTAGATTTCTTTAGCTTTGAGTCGTGGCTTTTACCATTTCTGCTGTTTCTTTTTATTTATGTAATTTTCTCCTTTTAAACTGTATATTTTTACTGTTAGGACACAAGCAGGATTCGATCTTTGTGTGAAATTATGAATATCCACTGTTATCAGTATCAAGCGTGTCGCTGTTTTCTTTCTTTAGATGCTGCTTCCTGTCGTCAGTCTTCGATATCTCGGTCGCCTCAACTCTTTAAGTCGGCTTTAAGCCAAACTAATCCAGATGTTCATCCAGAGGAGGCTCCTCGCGACGTGTCCGAAGACGGCTTCAGTTTTTCGGACAGGAGCTCAGACGTTAGAGGACATCAGCAACCAGAGGAGGAAGATGAGGTGAACAAGAGAGCGGATGAA